CATCATCTTCCTGCTCCTTTTTTACAATGAATAAATGGACCGTTTTCATGGATTGACATTGATCACTTCTCCAGGTGTCTGGATTCTTTCTGATCTAGTGTCTGTGCTTTCTATTACATTAAAATTTCACTACAAGCTTGGCTAGCCATTCCTGGGCAAGTCTTAGAACCTCTTTGTTGTCCTCATCTTCCTTGATCTCTTGGCCAACTTTTGATACTTTGATCATTTAATTGGATGCCATGCCAAGTAAAACCATGAGCACTGTTTTAATCTGAAATTAAACTTTTGTTTAGTCTAACTTAAAAAAATAAGGTTAATTTCAAAATAAAAAATATTTTCCTTTCTCTGAAAAAACCCAGCCTGCCTCTCGTATTTTTGGGCTTAAACTCTTAATTGAATTCAGTCTGGACTGAACAATAATTTCTGTCCTTTTGATTTGTACTTTCTGTAAATCTTACCAGTTAATGGGAGTGTGTTACTGAGCTGTGCTGCAAACGTCTCTGATTTCTGGTGGAACCAAGAATAGTCCTCCGTATGGATAGGCACAGCCATCAGCTATTGAGACTTGTCAGATTTTTAACCTTTGCAGGAAGACAAAGCATCATAAGTAGGATAATGACCAGCAGAGGTTAGGGTCCACGCCAATACATTTTCTGTCAGAAATTAATATTGTAACTAATAAAGGCAAGACTGCAGTTACTGCAGCAGACTGCTCTGTAGACTGTAGTCTACAGTTGTTTGTAAGATATTAGATTAAGATCATGAAATTTATTCTAGTTTTGAGACAAACTAGAGATGGATATTTGCACCATACAAGAAGATTGAAAACACAATTATCATAACCACAAGAACTGAAAAGAAAAATCCACGCTGTCTTTCTGTCTGTTGGTTCTGCAGGATGCATTTTTCCAGTGATCTCAGTCATGGTGCTTCAGAGCAGTACTTTAATCAAAACTGACTGTTCTGGGAGGTGAGGGTATGACAGGCTAACTATAGTGATGTATTTACAGTAGAGGGAGCTGATGTTCAGTGAGTGCATACATGCGAACTTACTGCTGTCCTAGGCTTTGTACAGTATGAGCCATCAGAGTGTGTGTAAGCACTGCTGAAGAAATAATCATCTTCTCTCACCAGAGTGAGGGGGGTACTTCTGCATCCCTCACCCACTGGCTGCAGGCATGGTGGAGCTCTCTGGCAGTACAAGTTGCCTCAGAGAGAACTTGCTAGGAAGAAACACCTCCTGGGGCCCCCGGGCATTTTTCCATGCATCAGGTTTGACATGAGGGACAGACTGGCAGTAGCACTAGTATAGCATTGCAAACACAGAGCCTCTGCACACCTCCTCCCTTACCTACCAAAGTCTGATGTTTCCATCTTTCCAAATATTGTAACTTCCTATTACACTACAAACAATGTCTCTTTTGTGCTCTTAGCTTTGCTCTGCTCCCTAGGTTTGGCCTGGTTTCTCCCTGACCCATCTAATGAGTAAGTGCTCAGAAATTCTTTCATTTATAGCACTCTTTAGAAACCAGAGATCTCTAGTTCTCTGGCACTGCCTGGCTGGATTATGCAAGTTATTCAAAGTTAATTGATCTAGACTAGTTAAGATAGAGACAAAGTAAGTGTGAAACAAGAGAATACATATGCATGCAAAAATATGAAGAGTTGTCATTCTTTTAGTGTATTTAATTGGGTAATTCACACTGAGGGATTGAGGGATTGAAGGATTGGGGTTCCAACTAACCTGAGTCCTGCTCCTGGCTTTGATGTAGCGCTTTGGGTGAAAGCTGTTGGAACAAGTCCAGAGGAGGGCCACGAGCATGATCAGGGGGCTGGAGCACCTCCCATATGAAGATAGGCTGAGAAAGTTGGGGCTGTTCAGCCTGGAGAAGGCTGCGTGGAGACCTCATAGCAGCCTTCCAGTATCTGAAGGGGGCCTTTAGGGGTGCTGGGGAGGGACTCTTCATTAGGGACTGTAGTGACAGGACAAGGGGTAATGGGTTAAAACTTAAACAGGGGAAGTTTAGATTGGATATAAGGAGTAAATCCTTTCCTGTTAGGGTGGTGAGGCACTGGAATGGGTTGCCCAGGGAAGTTGTGAATGCTCCATCCATGATGGTGTTCAAGGCCAGGCTGGACAGATGGTTTAGTGTGAGGTGTCCCTGCCCATGGCAGGGGGGTTGGAACTGGATGGTCTTAAGGTCCTTTCCAACCCTAACTGTTCTATGATTCTATGATTTTATGAAAGCTGTCCTCCTGGTAAGGCAGCTTTCCTGACCACAATGTTTCAGCTAAGGTAATCACAAAAAAAAATAATTAGGGAACGGACGTTGTCCTGAGACAAATGTAGGATATGCACTTAAAAAATAGAGGAGTCAGAGAATTTCAGACCCAGCTAACTTGTATAACCAGAAAGATCCTCAAGCAAGTTAATTTGCCTTGTTAGCACCTAGACCCGTAGGTCTCAATTACATCTGTTTGTGGACAAAACCTCTAAGCACATCATGTGCCAGAATGTAGTGCCTTGCTTTTCCAGACTGTTTGGATTGTATCACTGGTGGCTTTGTTTAGCCATGAGTGACAGAGCTGCTGACCTAATAATTCCATGAACTAGTACATTTTGAGAGTACCAAGTTCATCCTTGGCACCACCCTTAAGAAATTTGGGTAGACAGGGAAGAAACAGCAAGAAGAAAGTTAAAAAGTTTAGAAAATAAAAGATAGGATATGTTTAAGGGTCAAAACCCACCACCTTTTTAGCTTAGATAAAATGAGATTAAGGTGAGACACCTTTGCTTAAAATCTGTCTATAAATAACATGGCGATGATTTGTTCAATATGTGGCCAGTGCTGGGGCGAAAAGAAAGGGGGTGAGACGTATAATGCAGCAAGGAAGATTTAGAAAACAAATCCAGGAGAATTTTAACACTGCACAAATAACGAAGCCCTGAAATCTTCCTGGCTTTTACAGGTGGGTTCTTTTTATTTGTTTTTGGTTCTTTTTATTGTTTTTTTTTTGTTTTGTTTTGTTTTTTAATAAAATATTAGTCAAGTTGTTGCCAAGGTGGCTCAGGTGCATTCACTCTGTCTTAGTGACATGGGGTGGACCAAATGATCTTCTGATATTTCTTCCAGTCCTAAATTTCTGTGCAAGTGCCTTGAAATTTATTTGTGAAAAGCACTCTCTTCAAACTGGGTACCACTCTTCTTTATTACTTCTTCTCAGTGTAGTTACAAACGAAAACTCCAAAATTGGTTCTTTCTGCTCATTCTCTGGTCAGCTTTCCTCCTTTTGTCTTGGCATTATCATAGCAGGCTGGATTTGTCGCTGGCTGTTTAAACAGAGGAGTGTTTGGTTAGAAGCATCAGGAAAGAAAACAAAGAGGCTTTTACGATGACACTTCTATTAGAGAATTCTCCCAGTGTTTCAATATTTCCTAATCACAATAATTTGGGTACTTATTTCCTTAACCAGTCCTCCTCAGAGTGATTGATTTTTGAGCTGTATGCTGTAGTCCCTGTTACTGGATAATACCTTCATGTTGCACAATGTACTGACATTATCTCAACTGATCACAGAGGTAGGATGGATTTGCCTCTCTTTCAGCAGCCTTTATCAGTTTTCTCTTGCCTTGAAGTATAAATTATTTTTAGCTGAGGAATATTTCTTGTATATTCTAAGTATATCTTGCCTCCCTGGGAAGATGTATTGTGTATGCAATCTGTATCTAAAGAAAACCCATTCCACAACATAAGCATCTGTTGTGGATACCTTTTATGTAAACTAAAGATACAACACTGGCATTGCAAAACGGCGATAAGGCAAAGCAGCCACCCTCCTCATTCAGATCCCGTCTATCTGACTGACAGCTCAGTGGTACTCTACTACTAAATGAAGTTCCCTTGCAACTGTGCAAGTCTGTCACTTTATGCTTGGATGTTTGGAACATGCAATACATCTGGGAAGTGAAAAAACACTAAGAAGCATTTCAGATCTCGGAGGAGCTGAACACTTCAAACAGATGGCTTCTTTCCAGAGAGAGCTCTTCCAGCTTTCAGAAATGCTCCTCATAAATTTTGACCTAGCTGTTAGGGGTACTATATAACTACATAAGGGGGTGGGGAGGAGTGGTATTAAACTGGTAGAAAATAGTGTTGGGTACCTCGAGAAGTACAGTCCTTTGATCTCACTGCAGTCTGTAATTTCCTGATTGTGGCTGAAGGTATGAATGATGGACAAGGTTTCTGTAGTCTTATTCAGGTGGTAAAGAAAGTTTGCTTTTGGTTTTGTTTTTAGTTTTCACTGAAATGAGACCTTCTTAGTTTGAATGCAGGTTAAAAATTCCAGAGTGTTGCTCCTGTGTGTTGTACTTCATGAATGAGTCTGTTTTATAATATCTGCTTGGCAGAGCAGTGCATAAGTACAGTATGACAAATGTGATCTAAACCAAGCATTTCATTAAGGAAGGACATTTGTTATTGGCTTTCAGTATGGACCGTTAACCTTCATGGACACCAATTTCCCTGCAATGAAGTTACTATTTTAACACCATTCAAGGGTTTATGCAGTAAAATACAGGACTACATAAATTTTAATGTGGTTGTGGTAAGTACTGGAAGGGGGTGCAAGGGAAAAATGCCACGTTGATAATGATTTGTTTGGCGCAGCAATAAGGATTTGTTTATATTGAACATCACAATCCAAACATTATCTTCCTATTGAGTATTGTCTGCAGAAAATAATATTGGGTAGATAATTGGACACAGAGATCCATATCGTGATGCTTTCTGGTAGAGTGAAGACAGTAGAGACAAGAAAAAGGGAAAAGTATTTGGTAAATCAGTTCTGGTGGATGGAAGAACCCTCAAGTATTGCTGAGAACTGTAGTTTATGCCAAATGACCCAAAATAGTTTTCCCTGGGCCTACCCCCTACCAACTCAGTTTTGAGAAGAAACAAAACCCATTTCAAGATGCTCAGAATGCCTAATAGAATTCCAAATAAGCTGGCTGATTCACTCTCCTAGACATATAACATAGCCTTAAACATATTTTAAAATAACTTACTTTGTATTTATGTGGTGGTGTTAAGAAAATCCTGCTGCTATAAGTTCATATCAAGACATGTAGCAAATACATTTTATTGCTGTAGTTGCGGATGTACAAGTATTTTTCCAGGACATTTTCAAGTAAATTTAATATTCAGAAAACAAAAGAGAAATAGTCCTGACCTAGGTGCCCTTTATTTACCTGCTCTTTCTATAGCAGCCCAGGTTACACGTGTCAATGAGGTGAGTTTGTTTTTATCACTTCAGTGACATGATTCCACTCTCATGGGGACTGTGGACCTGACAAACTTCTACCCCCTTCCCACGTGATTCAGAGCTGCTGTTCAAAAGTTCTGCCGATAGCTGCAACAATCTGGTACTTGGAGGCGTACAGAGGACATGAGCAAAGCTGGAGCATTGACTGCTATTGAACTGTTGACCTCTGAGGAAAATACTTTGACTGCTGTTCTGGCTCTTGTGACCAGGTGGCAGGTATAGGCCACAGTCATGACCAGTAACTTTACAGACAAGCTAACTTCAATAGATACGCTTCCAGTAACTGCCAATGAATGAAGAAGATATGCAGATAATTACATTTCTCTACAGAATGCAACATTTACACAGTGAGAGGCTTTTTGACTTCTGAAGATGGTTGTTCTTCCTGTAGCTGTAACCTCTTCTAAGAAAGAGCTATTCTGAGAAAACCGTTAGCATATAATTGGAGTTGGCTGTGACTCACTCCTTGCTACGTCCCACTTGCTGAGCAGGGTATGTGTGTTGTCACATCATTGCATGTGTTTGCATGAATCCTGCACCATGACCTCAGCAGGCTGCTGCCTCTCTTAAACTGCCTTTACTTTTTTCTGAGCTGCACAAAAGATAGGGAATGTACCACTGTTGTCTGAAGGCCTTTTTGCCTTCCTAATTAAAGCTCAATCTGTATTTTTAGCGTTGGTGTTCAGTTTTGTCGCGCTTGCAAAGCATGCCAACTGCCCCAGTGAGCTCCAACCTCACAGCAGCTGAGGTGTCCATGTTTGGTCATGCACCCTAGAGTTTTTGGCAATAACACTTTTCACATCCTAAAGGAGGATATTCAGCTGTCATTTGTACCAGAGACGGGATCAACATACGCTTGGCAATTAGAACTCTGGAAAGTGTTAATATGTAGTGTTTGTAGAAATGCACAGGGCCTCAGAGGCTGGAGCAAGGATAAATTCCATGCTGAATTGTCGTGATGTATGTGAGAAGACGTTCATCAGATACTAATGAACCTCCTAGTGGCACTAGGCTGTGCAAAGTACTTACTACTGAAAGAGAATGGCGCATGGAAACCAGATTAAATAAATCACTCTTCTTTGGTGTCTTACCTTGGATTGTGCAAACAAAATCTTATCAAGCCTGATTTACAGTTTCTGGCTATATTCACTTGAATCCCTAACCACAGCTGTGCTCCTTTGACCTCAGGAGCCTCATAAGGATGCAGACCAGAGGGTCAGTGTGCTGCTAGAGGCTTTTCTGTGTCAACTCCAGAGCTGGGAAGGAAGAGCTGAGGTGACAGTGAGAAATCTCCTCTTCCCTGTAACCCCAGATAAGCTAACAACTGAAAAAACAGAAGTCCAGCAGGGTCTGCATGGCAGAGTCTCCTGGTTAAGCGTGATTCAGCTAGACTGCACCTGATTGCTTTTTAGCCAGGAGGTTCTCCAAGGACTGACTTTGGCAGGGATTTACCCTCAGCTGAGGGTCTTTCCCCGGGCATGGTATATTGCGAGGAGGCTGCTGGCTCTGGGAAGGAAAGCACCAAAGTTAATAAAACAGCAGCCAGGAAAGCAGTATTCCTTACAAAACAGAAACCTTTTCTCTCTGTCCCCCAGGAGGTCGTGGAGTGGCCACAAGAGCTTGACTGCAATCAGAAAAAGTCTTTTGGCATCCTCACTGGAAATGATCACACCTAGAGCGTTAGCAGGTGGATTGGGATTTCAACAGGCAAGCTCAGGTTTAATGTCAGTTCCAGTTCCAGGGTGAGAGACTGATCTCCTCTGGGCTGGTGTAGTCGGTTGCTCTGAACCCTCCCTGCTGCCTGTGAGATCACAATTTCTTGTAAATGTTTTTAGTAATTGGTCTGGCAAAATCCTTAGATTTCCTGTGTCTTTCTTCGATGCTCGGAATACTCAGTTCATGACCTGTTTGTTAAAAATAATGGAAATTGGAATTTCTCAGTAGATGTTTTGTTTAGCAAGTAAAAAATCCATTAGCATTTGTATTTCATTTGTCGGCTATGACCTCCTGTGATACACTGCTATCTATGGCTGGATTGCAGAAATGAAATTTCTGAAGGGAGAGTTTTATGTTTAGGTTTAAAATTGTTTTGATGCCGTTTTGCAGTTGCTCACTTGTACTGCTTCTGCCACTGTAACAGGAATTGCAAGTACCTTTCATCTATTCACGTAGCGCCTGTAGGTCCATTCTTCATAATTGAATCTGACACCAGAGACAGAAAATTGCAATATGCAAAGCCTTAGCAACCCAATGGTAGTGTGTACCATTTCCCTTGATTTTAGAAAAATTTAATAATATTGGGTGTATTAAAAATCTTCCTTAGTATATGCAAATTATTCAAAATGGATAATGATGCACTAAAAAGTTCGTGTCAAATCAACAGGAAAGTTTCTGTGGGGTGAGAATATCCTGCCCTATTTAACCTCTTGGCTTTTGTGTAGGGTATCTGTTATGCAATGTTTTGAGCATGGGCCATGTTCCCTGTTAATATTCATGTGAGGAGAAGGCTGCCAATGGAAGTCAGCTGAAGATCTGCTGCAGCGTGTACCTGGTATAAACAAAGCTTCTAGGATGAAAAACTGGGCATGGGAAGCTTGTGATTCTGTTGACCCTTTCAAAAATGCAATAGATAGCATCCCTTGGAAATCATGAGGAGTAATCAGAGGAATGTGTTACAAATCTGGTATTTCAATTCAGACCATCATTTGCTGTTTTAGACTGAAGACCCTGGTATTAACAGAGAACTGTGATAAAACCTTGGAGCTTTTTTACTGACTTTCAGCAAAATCCTAAAAATGTAATCAGAAAATAAATTGGATGTAAGTAATGAGAATAAAAACCTCAGACTTTTTAGCTGGCTTGGGCTTGTGATACAACAAAAGAATGTTTGCACCCTTAGCTGCTATTTTCAATGCCTTTTCCCCCTGAAGTACACTGAGTTGAAACTTAGCATATACATTTTAAGAAGCAAATGTGTCTGGAGAAAATGTGGTTTGATATCAGTTTGCTTGGTATTTAAATTACAAGGTCATATAAATGCTGGTTTTAGGCAGTTGAGACTGTGTTAAAATATTTCTGAGTGAGTCAATTATAAAATGTACCCCTGAGGTAAGCTGCTGGAGGGATGCGCTTGTAGCATTGTCTGTTTAAGAGTGACATGAGAGAGTGTGTTGTAGTGTTTGTGGGGTATCCACTCAAAATACACTTCAGGGAAGTGAACTTGTGGATTCAGTGGGAGGCATCTAATGCAGCTGGGAGGAAATGTGTGGCAGAAGAGCAGGGCTGGTTCCTGTTCCTTGGAAGAAACAAGACCCCTGGGGGCTGCCATGCCTTCTCTCTTCAGGTGCCACAGGAACAAAGCATCTTGCAGAGATGAAACACTTTACAGATGACTATGAGGGGTATTAGGTTCAGGTGCTTGAAGTTTCCTATGGATGATTACTGGTTACGGACTCAGATGCTAACAATTTAGTTAGCAAGTGCTAGCAAGTGCTAGCATCCTTGGTGGGCCAAGCAGGTACTCTTTACAATGCCTTAATTTTGAGCTCCAGATGTCATCCCCCAACTCTAGGATGAGTTTTGAAGATGAAGAATTTTAAGGCTTTGCATGGGTGCAGCTCGTGGTTAAGCAAGAGACTTTCTATTCAGACTATGCCATAGCTGTTCACAACAAATATTCTGCACCCTCCTCTTATCTGTTAATGGGTAGGAGGGTGATGAACCATGTGTTGGATTTATTGGTATGCTCTTTATATTATGTTTCTGAGTTGTTTTCTCTCTCATGCACAGTTCTACAGGTCGTTCTTCTCATGTCAGTCAGAAAAAGCATATGGACTTTTATCAGCTTAGCAGACAAATGTTAGCAGTAATTACAGCACTCGAAGCATAAAGTATTCCAATTTTAATAACATGTTTATTAGGTCATAACAACAACTATAAACATAAGTACCATTCAGCTCTTTGCAGATATATGAACTTACTAACATCAAATCTTTACCAGAATCACATATTCTTACAGGTGTCCCAGACACAACATTAACTTTATAAATAGTAAAAATGTCCTCTATTTCACATTGCATCGTTCCTCAAGCATGTATGTACAAGTTTGGAGTATTTTCCCCAAATCTATGTATCATAAACTTCCTTAGCTGTTTTAACAACCATAGAGATGATTTTTTTTGCCTGCAGCAAAGCCTTTTGTCCTTGAGCAGCCTACAATTAGTATTGCTCTCAGCAGATACGAAAGTTCGTTTCTGAAACGAAAGTCATGATGAAACACAATACAATATTATCTGCTCATAGTTTGCCTACACACTCTGCCCTCATTATAAATCCTTCAGTTGTAACACTGTCTCCCGCGAACAATGTATCTCCCTTATATCACTTCTGTATCTGCACTACCTCTTTCTGAAGAGCTTAACACAGTTGGCTCACAGCAACAGAGACATTATACTTAGGGTGGAGTGTGTTTGCAGTCAGTTCTTTTCCTTTTTAATATTTACACAGTAATATTTTCTTAAGGTTGCTACAATTTATGAATCATGTATATTGACATACATCTTCTGAAATGTTCACAGTGCAGTATTTTGTGGCCTAACCAAACTTTGTAAATGTCATTAAAAATAAACTTTTTTTTTTAATATAAAAATAGAATACTTTATGTGTTTACACCAACAAGCCCAGTTCTATCCTATACTCAACAAACTATACAGTAGTATGCACAGAATTCCACAGGAACAGAAATGACATGTGATGCTTGCCCTCTTCCCTAATGGATGAAAGTTTTATTTACTATCTCTTATCAAAGTCCTTTCTCTGGTCATAATTTAGAAATGCACCCAGGTATCCTAATTTGCTGGGTTGTGTGATCCAAGGAGAGGCTGGGGGGGCTCTGTTTCACCTTTTGGTCAGTATTCTCAGCTCATTTGGGCTGGCACAAAGAAGTTATCAGCATTCCTGCTATGGCAGTGTTTTCTAAGTCAGGGCTGGCTGCAACGCCTCCACTCTTTACTCACCGCTGGCAGCAGCTCCACCCAAGGGTAGGTGGCAGAGCTTCAGCTGCTGCCATCTGACTCACCCAACAGCAGTTCCGTAAGGTTGCCAGCCTGCCTGTCTCCTCTTCCTCGCTAGAGTAGTGCAGCCTGTAGTACTGCGTCCCAGGGATTAGCCTGGCACTGAATATGGATGGCTTCAAGTTTTTATTCTCAGAGAGTAGATAATTCTGTATTGCAAAGAATGCAGGCTTTGCATTTTTCAGTGACAGATCTGTCGATATAGGCTTTTTGATTCAAAACAGTGGCTGAATGCTGGAATGAAGTTGACACTGGAAGCTAGATGATTTTCCCTTCATTTTATGTACCGTCTAACTACTGCAGAGGACTGGCAAGGCTGGCATACTTATTTTACTGCACACCATTTTCTGATGTTGATTTCTGTTGGACATTAACCATGAGATTGGCTCTCCTGGTTGCCTGTGTTCTAAGAAACCTTGTGGATGTAGTGCAAAAATCCAAAGTTTGGACTGTGCAGAAGGAAAACACATTTTAAACTCTTGCAACTCTCATTGTTTGTCTTAGCCTTTTGTGTGAAAACCATTTCTGCACTGCTCATTATCCTAAAGTACATGCACAGTAACAATCCTTCCACCCGCACTGATTGGTATTTTTACTTTCTCCTTCGTGGCATTAATGATAATCTTTGTTCTTGAGTCTGAGCACACATTAATGAGAGCCAGTGGGAACTAACTCTGGATAGTAGCACACAACTCTTCCATTTGGTAAATCGATGCAGTTGTCCAAATACTTGGAAACTACTGTGATGGTTTATAGAATCCCATGGCCTTAAACAATCTGATATCACGTTCTTGTACTAGTGCAACTTGGGCAACAACATAAACATGTGCAACAGTGTTCTCACAAAGACTGGGCAGTAAAAACAAGTGGACAAAATGTTTTGCTTTTTGTTCATATAACTAAGAAGGGATTTTCCTCTATTTCAGACCTACCCGTCATGTGTCAACATCCATATCTGTGTTGTCTTGCGATGACAGAAGAGAAGGATAGGGCGCAACGCACTTCACGTTGACATAAGTAGCATTGACATGAACGTAGTGTTCCCCAATAAAAGTGGAGAAGATTGTTGATATTTTTGAAACAAGTTCAGAAAATGCTGGACGCATCTCAGGTTTGGGATGCCAGCACTTCAGCATGACTTCATACCTGCCATTCAAATAAAAGAAATGTTTAATTATGGAATCATGTAAAAAGGAGAAAACCCTTTTTCCTCCCACAGTCTCGCTTACTGCGACGTCAGACTCAGCTTTGCAAGCTGTTCACTTACAGTGGGTCGGGGCAGTATTCAGGTTGCAGCAGCCTTCTTCCTTGTAGTAAGTAAACAGTTATATCAAAAGAATTTACATCAGGATAAGGTGGTGCCCCTCGTGTCATAAGTTCCCATAACAACACACCAAAGGACCACTAAGAAAACAAAGGAAAAAATAGTAAGTTATAGGGTTGGAGGGCTTTACATTCCACTTTCAGAAGATGGTTTGACAGATTTAAACATTCAAATGCATGGATTTTCCCTTTGAAAAGTTATTTTACTGCATTCAGCTTTTCTTTTAAGTGGGCTAATAAATGCTGTGGGGACTTGAGGAGCCACTTAAAGTAGAGCCAGAGAAACTCAGCTAAGTAAATGAAAGAAAATAAAAGCCTATAGGCCAGCTACTTAGCTGGTATAAATTGGCAGACCTCATTTGAGGTTAATGGAGCTCTGCCAATTTACATGAGCTGATGATCTGACTAACCCTGTGTAAATACATACTGAAGAGAATATACGTGGTGAAAATTCTATGCATCACAGGCTAATTTGGACCTGGATTGAAAGGAGGGCTGAAATACAGAGTGATCCAGCCAACTAATGACTTCATCTTATAATTTTTTCTTCATAAATAGCCAGGTAATACTTGAGATTGCTGTAGGCAGTCAGTAAGTATTTATAAAGTAAATAAAGTCTTTTTGAGAACTATTAAATTTCACGAATCTCAAAGTTAACCTGTTCTGTCAAGCTTTCCAGAGCCCCTCCTATAGCAGGGTTCAGCTCCAACTTGGCTTCTTGGAATGCCCTTAATTTCCCCTGGAGTGGAATTAAACTCTTGGTTCTTTCCTGAGCTGTAACAGATAATCAGGTCAACAACTTGTTGCTTTGTGATTGGTGCAAATACCCTTTTGGGATGTGGAAAAAGTTTCTTATGTGAACTAAAGTTATATTCATATATACATTTTGGTTTGGAGTTAGTCCATTCATTAAATACTAGAGAGGTGCCTCAGGCCATGTAAGAGAAATTAATAGGTGATACAAATATGTTTGTACTTTACCACATCTGACTTTGTTGTGAACTTCTGAGTTTGTAAACTTTCTAAAGCCATCCATTTCACTGGCAGTTTAGCACCTGTTTTATTGTGTACGCTGTAGTATTCTTTATCATAGACATCTCGAGCAAGACCAAAATCAGCAACCTTGACAGTGAATTTTTCATCCAACCTAGAGAAATGACAAAAAGTATTATCTGCAACTGAGCAGGCAAGATTTACAGTGATGGTGGATTATAATGACTTGCATTTTTGAGACAGTGACTTTGGATCTATTAACTAATGTAACTGAAACAAAAAGTGCAGTGAAGTATATTTGACACCCATTTAACATAGTGAATGAACTCAGGAAATTACGGATATTGCTTTGATAATATAATTTGAATTACAATTCTTTTAAGACAATTACTTTGTATAAATTTTTTTTTTGCTAATAGCCTATACATCCTGATTGAGTCTACATCATTTCTTCCTCTGCTGTTTTTATCTTCTGTATCCTTAGAAACGTCTTATCTTTATCTCCAAGACAAGGCACCACCCATCCTATTTACTCTCAGTTTTGATAAGGAAGGACCCATCGTTATCTCCATGACTGCCCATATATGATAATGTAGTTCTGTAACTAAGGATGTGTTTGGTGTCTGTACTGGGAAAGAATGGTGCATAAGGAAAGTTCTGCTGGGGTTACAGCTCAGCCATACCAGAAGATCTCCGTAGCTTTGCTCCTCCTAAACTTGGTGTCTGTCCTGGTGTTATCATTGTCAGAAAACAGTCATAGCATGGGTCTTGGCATGCTCAGGCCTATCCTTCATTATAGTTGAAGATCTAGCCACAGCATACACCCGGACTGGGGCTTTTATACAGAATCACACATTCACAGGGTGATGTTGGAAGGGACCTCTGAAGATCATCTTGTTCACCACCATCTCCCTTGCTTAAAGCATGTATTTATACACATGGGTAAGATCACCCTGAGCCTTCTCCAGGCTAAACAATCCTGTCTCTCTCAGCCTCTACATGGCATTTCTTGAACTTATGAGGTTTCTGCCTGGACAACTCTGATCTGCTGAAGTCCCTCTGAATGGCACACAACCATCTCCTGTATTTACTGTCATAATAACCAAACCAGTACCAATGAAGGGAGTACGAGGGAACTTTGATGGGTCAACAGGGGACAGTAAATGCCACAGCAGCTTCCTGCACCTCTTCCAAGATAGTGAATAGTCATGAGTCCACAGGGATTGCGTTTGCATCCTGGCTTCCTTTCTGATGGGTATCAGTACTGTGGCCACTGGGCAATGTGGGTCTTCAGCCCCGCATCTTCTGCTCACATGGCAGCAGCTCTCCAGGCTCTGAAGTGCTGACACATTCACAAGTACAAAAGCAGCCATTCAGTTGGCCATGTGAAACATCATGACAGCTGTTCCCTCCTCACCCAAGGAAGAGACAGTAGGCCAGAGGGAATGTCCTGTTGCCACTCTTTGGACTTTGATCAGATGAACCAGGACTTTTTTATCCAGTAACCCAATTCCTTTCTTCTTAGGGAACCTGAAAATCATGTTCCTTGTGGCTTTTTTCCTCCCTTAAAAAACCAGCAGCTGTAAGAAAACATTCTTTTTCAGAGGCTGTTCAGCTGCACGAGTGTGCACCCTTTGAAAAAAGAGTATGAAATCTGATGTCACAGGTAAATAACCTTTCTGCAGATAGAGTTCCAGATTATGATGGGCTAAAAATAAACTAATGTTTAATCCTGTACCTCATTAATTCACAGCATAGGTATGAATTAGCATAATAGTATCAGTGCCTCCTGTATCACTTAGTCTGTGTGTGAACTGAACTGTCTGGCTACCCAGACACTAGTAAGATTCTTTGCACACTCTGATTTTTTAATGTTAATTTGTGTGTGTAGTTGAGCTGAAGGAGGCCCATACTTATGAACGACTGCTGTCAAGAGGTCTCACTGGTGTTTTCTTTGTGTTCCTGGTTTTCTCACAAAGTTCCTGTGTTCCTCTCCCTCCTTCTAGGTGTGGCAGCAGAGACGTGCTGCTTCTGAAGAGGCTGGGTGGAAGCACAGCAAGTTGAGACAACCACAGTTTAACTTCCCTTAGGAGATGCCTTTTAAACTCTCTCACCAATGATTTTGAGAGGCTACACTTTTACCTCAGCTTTTCTTATTTCCCACACTCGAAAAAAGCTTATGCGTAAGAAGCGAGCCCTGAGCAAGCATCAGTATGCAAGACAAACGTCACTGTAATTACAGAAAAATAAAAAAACCACCCTGTTTTGACCAAAAAAGCAGAATCCTGAAAACTTTTATATATTTCATCTCACTGTCTTACACAGAAGAGTGTGATAATGTGGCTGGAACTGGATGTTTATACTTACATACAGTTTCTTGCTGCCAAATCTCTATGGACAAACTTTTTGCTTGCAAGGTATTTCATCCCTTTTGCGACCTGAAGGCCAAATCCAATTAAATCTTTTACTGTTGGGTTCTGTAAAACACAAACATTTGTGATATAATGAATGCAGAAACCCAAGGAGCAGACTGTTTTTTGCTGTGACTCTCAGGTTTTGACACACCTATCTTGCCACCAGAATGATCAAGACAGGTTGGTGCTTGTAGGAAAATGTGTAAATTTAGGTCAAATTCTCACCTCCAGTGAGGAAACAAATTTAAGAAACCAAAGAGCCTGACAGGCTCCCAAAGGGTGGAGTTTGTAGCATAAGCAGCATGACCTGAGCTAGGAAGTGGAACAGTATGCTGAAACCTCAGCGTCACAGCTGATACACAAAACTCACATTTGTGAACTTGTAGTAATAGCGTGTAACTCAGTAGAAGGTGCTAACTATGAACACGGCACTCATCAACCTGAAATGATCAAGAAAGGAGAGAGTCCTATTTGGTGTAAAATAAGTGCAAGCTGTCATCCATATAATACCATGGAAAAGTTAAATGAGACCTTAGCAGCTACCAGAGGAAGATTTTCCACTAAGTTTGGTAATTCTTTCTGCTGGTCTGTAAGAGACATTACTAAAAACGTTAAATATCAAAAGAAGTATAAACATAAACCTCTAATTCTTGTATACAGCAGCATGAATTGTTTTGTTAACAGTAAGGTCCCACAGACTTTTGTGTTGTTGGCATTGCTCCATATAATTTTATTCTCTGTAACAGTCTGGTTCAAGTGTGGTCATTATTATATGTATTTAAGAAAGGATCATGGCACTTTTGGCTGAAAAGGGCCCTGGTGCTTGTAGAGTGCTTTTTATTGTCCTAGCACTGTGAAATGAGTAAAATACTACAGCATAAAGTGGGCTTACACTATCTGAGGCATGACCTGTGGTCTCATACTTGAGAGAAAGCATTGAGGCACATCTGGGAAATCTGCAGTCCTTCAAGAGAAGCAGGGAAAACCTCTGACAATACAGTATTTGTAGTTTGTGCAACAATTGTCGGTTTTCTTTAAGATAAAAAGAAAAACTATTGATAATAGCAGGACTGTGACACTAGCTGGACATGGAGATCCCTCACCTAGGAGCTGGAAGAGCAGATGGTGATGACTGGCACAGCTGGGCTGAAGTCAACAGAGATACGCCAGTTTAAACCAGCAGATGGTTGGGCCCCTTGACTTAGATTTCATAAACACATTTGTTTATAAAGGGGCTTATGGATGGGAAATGAGAAATAGTTATTGCTGATAATTTCTGGGAAACATTCTAGAGAGGAATTTGAGGGGGAAGGGAAGGAGTGGCAGCGCCGTGGTCAGGCTTGGTGCCAACCTAAGCAAGTGCCAAAGGTTAAGGTGTAGTAAAAGCAGCAAGTTATGGACATAATGTAATTATCAGAGCTTATAACCTGTGGTGCTGGAGTAGGGCATGGCTAGGCTCGCATTACCATTTGGTAGACCTCACCATGTACTTACATGAGTCTCATTCCTAATGAAGTTTCGAAGATCTCCATGTTTCATGTATGGAAGAACAACCAAGGGGGATCCTTCATTGGGCAAACAGATGCCCAGAAGAGATAGAACATTGGGATGAGTGAAATCTTTCATTATTATTCCTTCTTTCAGAAACTGAGCTACTTCTTCCAGGTCTGTTATCCCTGAGAAATCCAGTAATAAAATGAGTTAATTAAAAGAAACCCAAACAAACTACATTTCATTTCTGTACAGCATGTCATTGCACAACAAAGTGATAATGAGAAGCTATAAACATGCTGCCCACCATCCGCATTACAGTGAGGTTATGTACATTGGTTTTCTTACAGTGACCAAATACACTTTGTTGGAGATTTTAATTCCGTTTGTCCTTTTCTTATTATGATTTAGAATTGAATAACAACACTCAAGTAAAGCCTTTAATAAATGTTATAGTATTTTCCTGGTTTTCCAGCAGCTTCGCCCACTCTTTAGCAATTTAACTCCCAAAACCAAATCTTCAGTAGTCAGTGGAATAAAAAATGACACTGCCTTTCCCTCATTCTCCTGTGTCCTTTTCTTTTAGAGGAAATATATGGGCATTTTGTTTGGTGTACAAATATATACCAATGCCTTGTGGTAAACTGAGGATACTGAAATTGCTTCAGAGATAAATCTGATCCAGCTGCAACTAAGAATCTTTATTTGTGAAAGTACAGTTCACTGTAATAATTAGTTCACCCTGGTTACCTTTGGAATTATGATAATGTCTCACTATTAAACATGCAACTCACTGTTCAGTGACTTCACAGCACAATGAATTTTCCTGCCATCGTTATCCAGCAATGTCCCATGGTACACACACCCAAAATGTCCTATGTAAAAAAAATGAGCAAGATTTAATAAGTAAAATTAGCTTTCTGGTATTTTCCACTGGGTAACAATTATGCTTTAAGACAGTGATCACACTCTGTTTCTGTCCAGCTCCCAACACTTGTAATGTATACTTCATAACTAACACATAAAACTACCATTACATAAAACCATCATTACATAAAATGAAAAGTCTATTTGCAGCATAATTGGCATTTCTTAACCTAGATGCAGAGTATAAGTAATGATAAGGCTGGCACCACAATTGCTTCATGTTCTTGTAATGACTATGCATACAAAAACCATGCCAGTCCATTCCCACCGTACTCTCCTGTAAGATACATGTCAAAGGAGGGCACTGGAAGGCAAAAGCAAGCAGTTAAGAACTGACCTGAACACTGGATTGGTGGTTCCCAGTGGTCTGTAAGCCCATGCTAAGTGGTGCACTGGATTGTACAGCATCATCAGTATTGATGCATCATCAGTAGAAAGCTGCATAAAATCGGTCACTGTGAGCTTACAGTCTCTGAGGCCTTACTGTTCCATGGAAAACACTGAGTACTAAACATGGTGTGCTGGCCATGAACAGGTTGGGAGTTGCTTTCCTGATCACAGTCTGACCACATCACTAGGCAGCAGTCTTTGGTCTCTGCTATGGTGTAGTTCTGACTGTAAAATGTCACTAAAAAATTATGAGCTAAAAAAAATTTATGAGATAAAAAAATTTGCCTTCTTTCTCACAGTCTAAGCAGTGAAATAAATTGCCAGGGACATAGAAATCCTTCCTGATCCTGTGCTTTCCTGCCAAGCAAATGGGGCAGTTTAAAGACACCTACTATGGGGATACCTGCTATGAGAAGTCAGGTGGACCTCTCTGGGAAAAAGAGAACTTTGACATCCAGGCGTGTGCATTACTTTATCCAAATCAGATAATGGTGGCTTTCCTTCAGAGATGTACTATTTACAGGATACTTTACAAATACTTAACATATTTTAAAAATATTAATATTTGCAGGTAGAAAGCAAAACAGGTTTTAGTCAAGTGTGAGTTCTGCAGAGAACAAGACTATCTGATTAATTCTACTAGTTTCCAGCCATAAGTGCTGGTCAGAGCTCATCTGGCTTTGATTTTGGCTTGGGATAAAATTAATACAAAGTTTGTTTTATAAAAGCAACTAAAATCTCATCACACCACAGACTGTTTGGAGCCTGGGCACAAATCCTACAGCTTGGATTGGGTGTGTCTAAAATATATTTGGGTTTAGCCCGTTTGTAGTTATGGAGGAGAATTAAAAATGGTTAATAATATTGGTGTCATTCCTGATATTTTTCAGCACTTTAAAAAATGGGAAATTACTTGGACTTTTCTAAAACAAGAAAGAAAAGAAAAAGGCCCACCCTTACTTTGGGGATGATGAAGTGTAATACATGGAAGGGAAACACACAGACTGTTTAATTTGTGGCTGTTTTCCTGCAGAAAAGGCATTAGCAATATAATTTATAGCCAATGTTTTATCAGTATTCTGATACTTAACAAGGAACCCCTCATGCATGACCTGCAGAAGTACTGAAAATCCAATTTCTATTTGGCTTGCTAATAGGTACTTGATAGCACAGAGTTTAACAAATGCTCCTAACAGAATACTGGCTTGGGCTATGAAAGAAGGAGGGAACCTGGTTACAGAGAGGGATAGGAATGATGGGAGAAACTCAGGAAAATAAGAGACTCACTATATCAGGGACAAAACTAAGGGGAACTGAATCAGGAGCTATGCATCAATGCAGCTGGGATGACAGAGAAATGAGGGGGAATGGAGAGCCTCCTGTGGGAGGAAACAAACAGCAAATTCCTCAGAGCTGGGGGAAACCTGTAGAGGGTTTATATCACCTGGCCCATGGGGACATTTACTGGTTGCACTAGTGCCTGCAGTTTTCTGTGTTGTGTCCTGCAGCTCTCAGGCTCTGAGTTTAAGACATTGGTGCCCCTGCCTCAGCATCCCTTGCTGCTTAGGTGTGTGCTTTAGGCTTGTGCAATATTCTGCAGCACCCTCACTCCTGCAACTGCAGCCTCAGGGATCAGAAGCCCTGGCTGAGCTTTTCTTTAGCCCTGAAAGGGTTGAGAGTGAGGCAGCAGACGGGGAACCTGCAAGTCCGAGTTTAAAGGAGTCAGTTTAAAGGAGCCCCATCAACTGGCAGCCTCTTCCCTCCCTCTGGTGTCTTCTCCAACTGACGAAATGCACAACCCTTCATCTGACTTCACAGTACAGCCACCTGGTTCCTCCCCCCCCCCGCCTTCAGTGTATGGGATGCAGTGCTATAAGAAGTAAAAAGCTTGAAAAACCTCAGTGTAGACACCTTATTCATAAGGGTTTGTAATGAATGGGTGTGCAAGAAGAACAGCAGTTTGCCAGGTCAGAGTTGCAGCACCTACCTCTTCCTATTACTTCGCTGAAGTGCACGATCAGGCTGTCAGCACCAATAACCACATGCTGCACTTCTTTGACCAGGTCAGGATTTAAGGCACTGATGTCAATGTGGACATTAGTCTGGAGAAGTGGACTGGCTAAATCTGAGTCCCCACTAGACAGGATTGGGGAGAGGTCAGAGTGAGGATACTGGGCGGGTCTGCACGATCCATTCTGAGATATGCTTGGAAACTGATCTGCAAGATGAACAAAACCCATTATAATCCTTTCAGACTTCTCTTTGGAAAATGAAGAGGTTTATTGCATTGGTAAGAAAAGTTTCAGTTTATCAGTTTGGAAGTGGCTTGGCTTTGTGGAAGTTTTGGTCACAAAGGGAAAATGAAAATATGCATTGCTGAACTGCCAAACTCCAGGAAAACCGTGTCAGTAGAAACTTATGCTTTCTCAGCTCTACTTTTGTGAAAGCAAATGGCAAAACTTCCACTTTTCTGAGTGGATGGAAGGAAGCCTTGTCACTTCTTGCCAAGTGTAGGTTATAGCATTTCTAGTAATTGGGAGTAACATGGAAAAATGACAGCAATATGGCAGGAGGAAGTAGTGAACATGAAAGTTTTTACTATTGTCATGTTCTAATTTGGTAGGGAACTTTACATGTCATGAAGGTTTTCAAACTGCTGGTGACTAGCTATATTTATCCAATGGTAAATATTCAACCAGGGAAATGCCTAGAGGTGATTCATATCCTGTAACTGCTGAAGATAATACAGTTGGTGCTACTCATGAAAATAACATGAGCCAGCTGATTCAAAATAGCAGAAATTAAAATGTATGAGGGAAGCAAGGAGAATTTATTGAGAAAATTATTTTTATCAACAGCATGTTGTTCAGGTGTTTTAAATTGCTTTTGTTTAAAAGATTTTCTTTTAGTATTTTGTGTAATAGAATCAAGAACTAAGCTTAATTTACACCAATTTCATTCTGGAAGGATTCCAGTGGAGTCAATGAGCAGAATTCAGCCCAGATTCCAAAGGAAAAAAGGGGAATATATTTAACAACAGAAATTATCAGATATTTTATCACAAAAAGTTGTAGACACATTTTATATATTTATGTATAAAACTTAGGAAATTTTCATATAGTGGCTGTTAGCACTCCAGCTGCTGAGAAAAACTCGTTGCTGCTTTATCTAGAAGCAAAAATGCACACTCTTATATTTACAAAGCCACATTTACGTCACCAAGGGCAAGTACCTATTTAATAATGACAGTAAAATACCCTAGCCATGGTTGCTAAATAATTTTTACAGCTGCTGCATTTACATTTGCATGTTTTCTAATGTTCCTGTCATTTTATTCTTTGACAGCAATTAACGTAAACATTCTTACAGAAACATTAACTGAATGCATCTCCTTCTTGGGTGTTCTCTTTGCTATGCTTTGTCAGTGCACAGTGGCCCCAAGACCACTGCAGGTTTACCTTCTACCGAGTCTCTTTGCATAGTTTTGTCTCATGAACCACTTTCCCTTTTAACCAGTGGCACACTGAAGAAACTTCAATCAAGAAACTTCCTGTGTAAGCTGACAGCAGCAATTAAAGAATCATAAAGGAAGTTGGGAATGGGCCTGGCTTTCAGGCAGCTCCACAACTGGTGATTGCAAAGGTAGAATAAGGATTTGGAGTGATTTCTAGTGAATTGTATACAGCAGCACCTGAAATAGCACAAGACTATGTCTATACCAATGCTAACAAATATCTATGATATCTCAAATATCACAATATGGTCACTCCTATTAGTTGAAAACTCTGTAACAGTAATCACAGAACATGGTCTCCATATGTCTAAAGGACATATGTTCAGCCTAAAGCGGCATGATCAGTGCAGCAGAGTGCTCTTATGGAGAATACCAAAATGGTGTTACATGGCACAAAAATATGTTCAGCACAGGGTTATTCTTCCTTCATGCCCACAGGCCTGAAAATGAACAGTGTGTTTTCTGAGACTGGCATCTCAGCACTCACGGACTTCCACTCAATTTGTTGCAGTTTTCACATCCCTTTAGCTTTATTTTTAAAATTGACACTTTTGTGCCATACAAAGTACCATTTTATAGGACAGGCATGCACAGAATATCAGCCTACAAAGCTCCATGTCCCCTGCTGACAGAACTTTCTAATGATTGTATGAAGTCACTGACACACACTGAGCCTACAGCCACTCTTTGCTACCCTTAAATTGCTTTTATTCAGAGTGGATTTGTGCATGGTGTGATGGACCTCATGATAACACAAAATCATTAAATCCACTAGCTCCTAATAAATTTTGAAGCATACTTACAGTGAGTTTTTACTAATGGTATTTTATTTATTCCTCTAAGCTGAGTAAGAGAAAAACCCTTTGTACCTTAATCTTGGGGAGCACCTGAGAAACTCAGTTCAAATAGCAAGCCCCGGAACACATGGAAGTCCCGAATAATGCAGACACAGACAAAACAGATGAGAAACTGAAATTCAGACATTGAATAAAATATCTACCATCTGAAGACATATGAAAACCTTATCTAGGTGTTCCTGCTCCGGCAGGGGGATTGGACTAGATGATCTTTTGAGGTCCCTTCCAATCTCTAACATACCGTGATACTGTGATACTGTGAAAAGCAAGATGTATAAAACACCATCCACAGGATTCGGAATAGCAGTGTACCTTCTAGAAAAGTTGATCTGTAGTCTACAGATTCGCTTGAAACCATTTCTGTGGTTGGACTTACGCTCCTCGCGCTCACCAGCCTGTCCAGGTGAGGGGTGTGCACTCTGCCATCATAGCGCACTAGGTCACTTCCCAGATCTGAAGGGAGAAGAGTACGAAATATTAGAAAACCCTTATGTTTACTGTGTGTCAATACTCACTTAGGTATTTATTTAAGCTTAGATGTTCTGCTCTGCTGGGAAGAGGGTTGGGTTATTGCGGAAGCAGGTATGTGCAGGACCTGAAATTGAGCTATTTGTACAGCACAAGGTTTGCTGTAATTTGTGTTAACCCCCCACTCTTGGCCAGACTGGAAATTCCAAGAGAGCTTTGAAGCCTCTGGTGTCTGCTTCATGATCTGACTGGGACAGTGCGTCAGAACAAACCCTGGTCTCCAGCTCTCCTGCTCTTCCTCCCTTGTGTAGTGCAGCAGTTCCTGCTGGAAGGAAACCCAGACATGGGGGGCCAGAGAGGAGGCACAGTCTGACCAAGTTCCCGATTTGGGGGAACAGGGAACCAGGATGCCGCAGCACACTGCGTGTTGCACAACTTAGGCACAGCCTGGAGGACTGCAAGGCAACCAGATGAAGCTGAAGTACTTGTGATTCCGCACGTGTCATTTACTCATTCCCTCTCTCAGGGCTGACAGATGAAGAGAAGTTACTAAGTTTTCCTAATAGCTCAGAGTTCCTCCCAAATCCTTCTCCTTCAGGCATAGTGTGGGGCCCTTCACCCAGTACGGGCAAGAGCCAAGGGCTGAAATGCAATTAAACACTGGACTTGATTGTGAAACCTCTGCTGACAGGTTACAACAGGGCATTGTATGGCAGTTGAGCAAAGCATTAATTGATGTCAGTTTTTAAAGTCTAAGATATAATAACAGAATTATTTGATGGAATTGACTATGATGGACCTTTAATTTGTTTCTTCTTCCTTCTCCAGATGAAAATCACAAAAACGATAAATATCAAAGCTGCTGTTGAAACTAGTCCAGCAATCAGTCCTGTGAAATTCTGATCTTGCTGGATCAGCACTTTTCCGATAACTGTTGACAAAACTTCTTGCTTCCACTGGAAAAAAAACCCAAAGAAAAAATAGTATAATAGTATAATGATTTCAAAAGACAAGAACTAGATTATTAATACTAAAGCAAGAGATTATATGTCCCATATGCATTAAATCTTGAATTTGTGATGCTGTGCTACGGTAAGACACTGGGAGTGGAGAAATCGTTATACTGGTGTATGTGAATGCAGATTTACATTTTGATGATTCATTACTTGTCTTTAAGAGCTCTGGTAGTGACACAGCCATACACGTGCTACACCACACACACGGCATGCACACACGCACGCACCCTGGATAACGGTGTCCGGCTGTACTTGTTCATTCAAAATGCTAAATTCATATTTTTACTCAAGTGGTGCATGGAAATGTATAGGCCTATGGATATATGAGCTGAGATGTATGTTTAGAAAACCAGCCCAAATGTCTTTAGTATGTGTCCTTCTGGCATAAATACCCTGTAACATCAAACTCTCTGTTGACAGCGTGCCTGCATTTTAGTTCCCAAGGTCACGTGAGCCTGTCCCTTGCCAGCTTCTTGCTTGTTGACAGTTTAAAGAAACAAAACAAAACAAACAAGAAAAAACACCAAAAACCAACAACCAAACAAACACCAAGCAGCTAACAGGGAAAAACTGTTTCAGGTCACACGGCGCTAGCTCAGTCAGTTGGAATGCATCTGGCCATCTTTTCTCTTCCTCCTGTGGAATTCATTCCTCTGGGTACTGTAATGATGGATTTGCCCGTCAAAAGAGCAAATTTTCTTCTTTGCTGGGCAGACTGCAATTTCTGAGGCTCCTTGCCAGTAAACAAGCAGAAACCTTATTTAACCCCTTTATGATGTGTTCTTTTCTACACACAGAATACATGTCACATATCTTTTTCTAGAGGTTAAGGAAATCTCACACCATAAAACTGATTTAATTTAGTGCCAGTCCTGGCTGCATATGTAAAAATATGAACAGGTACAGAATGCAACATGTGCACAAGTATTTTATGAAACTAGGAATCTACAGGTCCAGGAAACAGATACACTATTAACTGTACTAATAAAGCAAATCAGTTATTGCTGTTTCCTTAGACTGCAGTAGCACTTACGAATACCATTCACAGCCATCAATAGGATGGAATATTATCCTATTGAGATGAATGCCATAAAGACACAGGAAAAATAAATGGTCCCTGCTTTAAATTGCTCATATAGACTTTAATCCTAATCATGCTTACACGACTGGCAAAGTCTCCACTGTTTTCAGTGAATCGGAGTCCATGATCAGCAAATTTCATAATTTAAAGGTAATCCCATTCTGCTGTGATTTTTCTTTCATTTTATATTTAAAAAAATACAAAGATACTGTAAGATTTGTGTCTTATTCTAGGAATCAGAAGGTTGAAACTGCCATTTAAATTTGTGGTAGCGCTCTGAATAACTCTAGTGAGACCACCTTTAGAACAACAGTGGAACTCAAAAACTGGTCCTAAGTGTCTGCAGCTTACAAAAACGATTGCAATGAAACTGAAAAAGCAGACAAAGAATTCTTTAAGAAAGGGTCTGCTCCTCTTGACTGCAGCAGAAGTTTTTGCTGAAAAAAGTTTGTGAACTCCACAGTAAACCTACTCCATCACAGCTTCCCGTTCTTCCCCATATGTTTCTTCTTGTGTTTGGATTAGTAACTACCATTTTATTTCTGTGCTTAGTTTAGGTCCTACTTTTCATCTAAGGGTCCAGGATGTCTCTATACAAACAGGTAATAACAACAATGATAATATTCCTTTAAAGTAGTCAATAATATTTGTATTTCCATCCCAAACACCCCAAACAGGGATAGAGATATCTCTGTAAACAGGTTTAGGCTTGAATATAAAGTTTCTAGGATCCATAATGACATTGAGAATGACAATAAAATTGGCATTAATATCTCACGTGTGGTGTAGCTGCCTCACCTCTATATTTAGCTCACTGTTGGATTTCAGGAGATCGCTGGGAACTGTACACAGAATGGATTCTGATTGCAGGAGGAGGTTTTCGCAGCTTTTATTTCCAACTTTTAGCACCTCTCCTTTAACAGCTTCTGAATCAATATAATTTCCCTTGGAAAAAATAAATAAATTTCATATTACATAACCATCACATAAAAGTTAAGGAGAAGTCCTTTTATTACTTTGGAAAATGTTTTTTATGGAAAAGCATTTGTGGAATAAAAGACTAATGCAAATTTACATTGCCCTGTCAATATGCAGGTATCATGTTTTTTCATGTAAATACAAGTTTGACAGACAGGCCAAAGAGGGATGATAAAATTTGTGGATAAAATCTGCTGTCACTAATATTCACAGAGCCCATAGAGACTCCAAAAGATGTAAATGGCTGACTTATAAATCCTCTTGGTTTCCCAAAAAACTGGCATTATATTATCCACAAACTAAAGGCATCTCAAACGTTTTGCTTTGCAAGTGGTTATGGTAGCAGGAGTGAAGCTTTCAAAAAGAGCTAATTAATTATAATCAGAAAAATGCAAAAATCTGTTAAAATCACACTCACAGAACAAAACGGAACAAACCCTGGTAAAGATGACAGCATGAAAAGTGCGCTCCCTACTCAGAAAACCTGCTTTCACATCCCAGATTTGGATGAAATATTCCTTCTGGTAGTGTCCAAAGACCAAGTTCAGGATCACAGCTACAAGTTGGGCAAAGAAGAGATTCAGAGCAGCCCTGCGGAGAAGGACCTGGGGGTGTTGGTCGATGAGAAAATGAACATGAGCCGGCTTCAGTGTGCGCTCACAACCCAGAAAGCCAACCGTATCCTGGGCTGCATCAAAAGAAGTGTGACCACCAGGTCCAAGCAGGTGATCCTACTCCTCTACTCTGCTCTTGTGAGACCTCATCTGGAGTATTGTGTGAAGTTCTGGTGTCCTCACCATAAAAGGGACATGGATCTGTTGGAACAAGTCCAGAGGAGGGCCACGAGGATGATCAGGGGACTGGAGCACCTCCTGTATGAAGATAGGATGAGAAAGTTGGGGCTGTGAAGCCTGGAGAAGAGAAGGCTGCATGGAGACCTCATAGCAGCCTTCCAGTGTCTAAAGGAGGCCTATGAGGATTCTGGGGAGGGACTCTTCACTGGGGACTGGTAGGACAAGGGGTAATGGGTTAAAACTTAAACAGGGGAAGTTTAGATTGGATATAAGGAAGAAGTTCTTTACTGTGAGGGTGGTGAGGCACTGGAATGGGTTGCCCAGGGAAGTCGTGAATGCTCCATCCGTGGTGGTGTTCAAGGCCAGGTTGGACGAGGCCTTGGGTGATATGGTTTAGAGCGAGGTGTCCCTGCCCACGGCAAGGAGACTGGAACTAGGTGATTTTGAAGTCCTTTCCAATCCTAACTGTTCTATGATTCTATGACTCTATAATCTTTTGTGCTCAAGAGCGCATCAGGATTTAAGAAGATGTTCTACACCCTATACAGGCCAGGTTAAGACAAAACAACAGGCATAGTAAACATGATTAAAAGGGAAAAGGGAGGATGGGGAATTACACTGATACAGGCTGTTTATGAGGGCTGGATCTGAGAATTTTTCATGAGAAGGGAGAAAGGCATCATGTCTGACACTGCTATGATGCCCCATACACAGGAAAGAAAACAAGAATCCCATTCTGAGGGGCAGAAGAAAGCTTGCTTTGGCATATGTTTTAGGTTTGCTGCAGAATCTGACTGAACCCTGGGAAAATTTTAATGAACACGTAGGAGAGCCAGTTTAATGTCCTATTTTGACTGGCAAAGCCACACCTCAGGTAAATGCTTTTAATTGCTAGTCAAAAAAAAGGTCAATTTTGCATTCTGTTTTCTGCCTACTTGAAGCCATTCTGTTTGGTGTTAATTAAGTAAATATTCAATGGGAATGGGCCAGGGAGCATGTGATTGACTGCTTATTGGTTATTAGTATGGAAACTTGCTGCAGATTGTGAGCAACTTGAATTCCTTTGAATGTTGTACCTCAGAAGACTTGAATATGAGTTTGTCATCTTCAGGTAAATGCTATCCTGGGGAGTGTGGGTAAGTGGCCTCTTTTTCTTCTACACCAAATCTTAGATTTTTCTTTCTCCACCAAAGATGATACTTACACAAAGGTGAAGAAAATTATATTGATGTTTCCTAAGGTGGTCCTTAGCCAGTTACAATGAAGGTAATAGCTTTTACTTACTACCACTACCAATATAGTACCATTAATATATCATAGTTTCAAATACATTAACTATAATATAAATATATTAAGAATTTCAAAACTCTCTGAGCAGTGGTTTTGCTCTGACCACAGAATTTGCCTGCAATTTTAAGAAAAGGAGGAAACTGGCTCCTGTGAGAACTGGGAAACAGTATTTCCTATTTTTAAATGCATATTACTCCCTTCTACCTGAGCAATGTCCTTGATCGCAAACTGGTGAAGCTCATTGCTGGACTTAGCTGTTGCAAACCAAACTGGTATATCAACTATCTCACAACTTTAGAGAGACTGGAATAATTTGGGTGAAAGTCTACAAGCAGTAGAAAGGATGACAAAGCAAGGTGTGGCCATTTGAGATTGGTGTAAGGAGAATTTGTGTGTTTCCTAAGCAGAGTGGGTTGACTTGGGGAGAATGAGGAGTTACCACAGCTGCAGAGCTTCCTCTTCGGCTTGCTCTGAAGCTGTTTCTTTCCTTATTTCTTTGTTTGGGTTTTTTTTTCACAGCTAGGACACACTGGGCTGTCAGCAGTCCAGCTTGCAGGTCTGGGTCAGTGGCTTACGTGGGATGCATCAAGTAGAGACTGTCCTTTTCAGCAGACTCAGATCTTCAGTCATCACCACAGCAAAACATCAGAACTTCTGCCCTGAGATCTTCCCATGTTGGTGGGAGATGGGAGCACTTCTGAAGTGCTGTCTTCACAGCGTTGAAGCAGAGAAGTGCGTCAAGCTACTCTGCCATGACCCCTCTGACTGGAGCATGGTGGGCACTGAGCGACTTCGAAGACCCATATACTTGGTAGAGGATGACAGTGATGATATAAGACCTTGAGAGATTCTGTAGTGTGGAAGACAAAAGGGCTGGCACTGAAGACAAGAAGGGCTGGCACTGAAGAAAAGAAGGGATGGCATTTGCAGCACACAGTGCCCAGTGTTTTACATGGAAGACTTAATGTTTTCCTGTGTGTAACGTTTTCTTACAAAACCATCTTACGGTGATCAGGGGAAAGCAAACAGAACCTTTCAATCGGTACCCACTGTCATTTGATGGAAGCCAGATATGTCACACTACATTAGTTTGATTGAAAAACTTGTGATAAAAGCTCCCTCCGCCCTTCTGAAACTAATTAAGAAAAAGATAAAAGAACTTTGGTTTGGTGGAACAGACTGTTCACTGAAGCAAGCTGCCATTTAATTTCATGCTGAGCTTGCTTAATTACTGCCCAAAATATAACCATAAGGCATGTAAACTTGTGTGTGTGTGTTTCTGAATGCGGGAATGGGACAAGGGAAAAGTGTTGCTAATATGGCTTGTAATGATCTTTTGGCCCGATTATAATTTCTGAAAGTCGCCTCACTGTTTTGATAGAAGCATCCCCCTATAGCTAATTCTATTTAGATGAAGATGTTAAATTGGTGTTTGTTCATGCTTTGTTCTAGGAGACCAGCTTTCACTAATGTTATTATCCAGTTGGTTGCAGGGATATAACCAGGGCATTAAGTTTAGGTTGACATCTGCCTTGAGTACCATGACTACAGGTGACATCAATACTACAAAACTGTGTCTCTGGTCAGTTGTCAGTGGGACAGCCCTCTGCCAGCCCTTCTCATCTGAATGGCTTCTTCCCAGCAATACACGGCACTAGAGAATTCCCTTTCGGAGAATAAAATGTTCATGACTAAAAGAAAAAGAGAGTTAAAAGATCCATTGATTTTTAACCCTCAGTCTCTGGGAAGGCTATGGAGCAAGTCCTCATGGAAGCATTTCCAAGCAGAGGAAGGACAAGCATGTGATTGCGAACGGCCAGCACAGGTTTCCCAAGGGTGCGTTTCGCCTGAGCAGCCTGATTGCCTTCTATGTGGAGATGACTGGCTCTGTAGATGAGAGCACTGGACAATGTTTACCTTGATTTTAGAAAGGTTTGCAACACAATCTCTCCTATCAAGGCAAAACAAATTTGTATGACATGAACTGGATGGACTCCAAGGTGAGTGAAAAACTGACTAGCCATCAGCTCAGATCTTAGAAGTCTAAAAACTGGAATTCATGAATGGCTGATACCAGTACCACTTAAAATGCTTATTGACAACCTGGACAAAAGGACAGGATGCACTGTCTTTGCACTCTCAGATGACACCACATCTAGGAAAATGACTGATATACTGGACCACAAGGTGAAGTAAGGCAGCAGAATGCCATTGTAATGATGAAGGCTTACCACATACTTCAGCAATAGCAAAGCTTGTAGATTGAAAGTGATTGTTCTCCTCTGCTCAGCATTTGTGAAGCCACACCTGGAGAACTGTACTGAGTTTTGAGCCCCACAGAAGAACAGAGATACTGACAAACTGGATGAAGCGCAGCAGATGGCCACTAAGCTAGGAAGGGAGCTGAAACACAGGATGCACCATGCAAGGCTAGTGGAGCTGGGTTTCTTAAAGCTGTAAAATCTCAACTCCTGGAGATTTTCAAAACTCATCTAGACAAGGCCACAAAAGCAACCTGACCTAATTTTTAACTTAGGCCTGTTTTGAGCAAAGGCTGTTTAACTATAAAGACCTCCAGTGGATCCTTCCAATGTATGTTATTCTACGATTCGTCTCAAATTAGTTCTCTTTACAACTGGTTGATATACATGACCTGGAAAATACTGGAATACACTGCTGTCACTGCACAGAGCCACTGAGACATGCTGCAGCTATATATTCCCAGCTCTCCATTGACCTGCACACCAGAACTCTTTCTAGCATTTCTTTATAACTGAACAAGAGGATTGCTCTGCATTAAGGAAGGGGTGATTGTATGGCCAAGAGTTCCAGATAGAAAAAAAATAAGGAAAAAAGAAAAATCAGACTGATTATTGTTTGGAATTTGCGCAAAGAACTTTGTGGAGACAAATAAATATTCAGAGAATTTGCCTGAAATGGAGGATGGCTCACAGTGGCTCTGAAGTAATCCCCTGTGATTTCCTGGGCCATCTTAGAGTAAAGACCTCAGAGCTTCAAGATTTCATGACTCTCACAGAGGAAAAGAGTTTTGGCTTACAGAACTATGGAAGAGCTACATGAAGAGATGAGCCCAGCGTTATGACTGATACTGTTCCATAAAGCATTTTTTTATAGGTCATATACTATATAAATTATAGATACTCTATATAAAATACATGTACAATAATATTTTCATAAACATTCACTGTAGATAAGAAATACCTGTGTTTATACTCTTTCACAAAATCAATCGATTTGAAGAAATCGGACTCCCACAGAATGCATTTAACTTTCCCCACAGCACTGTTTTAGAGAGCAGCCTGTGCCTGTGAGGGCCCCGAATTCTTAAGAGACATTTCTCAGAGCCATGTAGGCTATTCTCAATGCTCTTTTAAGAGGCACTTAGCATCAAATTTGCATTTTTCATGGATCTGTAAATATTTAGGCTACAATGGTGACTGATCTTCATAAGTGACTCTGTGCACAGGCCATAGTTTCCTTCAACTCTAGTGAGCCAAAACCACTGGCCAATTTCTAAAGGCAACTCCATGTCATTCATGAGGAAGGACACAAACCCATGTGACAGAGAGCTAGTACTCACTCGCAGACCACACACTTTGGGTTCTGACCTACTGGCCATGTTCAATCCTCAACCGGGGACGCAGCCCATTGCAACCAGAAGCTGAGGCAGCATGGTCCTCCCATGAGGATAAGAAAGGCCCCTCTCCCACCCCACCTGATGCCAACAACCACCCTGGTATGTATCTTTGTTTTCAGCTCTACATCTTTAAAGCTGTGACAGCTGGGGGTTCGAGTGAATGCAGTACTAACACGCTGCTCTCTCTGCCCTTTCCTCCTTGGAGCTTCCCTTATTTCATCAAAACGTCTGTTCCACGCTATACTGCTGAATAATTGAAAAACTTATTTCAACATTTCTTACCTTAATTTCCAGAACGTTATGGTTGCCTCTTGAGATGAACACTGGCTTTTCAAAATGCTTAAATACAGGATTATTTACATAATCAAAATCAAAATACAAAGAGCTGACACCATCAAAAATAAAGAACACTTTGGTTACAAAGGGTGGCTGGAGATTGAAGGCTTTCAGTGAAGGAGTTGTACAGCAGATTATCTCTGAGTTGGAGCGGTGGCTACATGGCTAGAAGAAAGAAAGAAAGAAAGAGGCAATTGCAGTATGTACGTGCATAGGAAATCACTGATGAACATAACTGTTCTTTAACAATGCACATATATATTGAGAAAATAAACAGCAGGGGTCTTGTTCTTCTTTGACCAAAGCAAAATCCTGATCAGTGGTACACAGCATTTATTTAGAGCTGGGAGAAAAGTATAAAAACTTCATGTCAATGGTGTTTGCACTCTTGTTGAGGAAATGTTCAAGTAAACAAACTTCCTGGCCTGATTGTTCACAGCACTTTTAAAGTAAATATTTTGCAGATAATTAATGGAAAATGATTTCCAGAGCCAAGAACCATCAGGAGGCTAGCCTGGTGTACTGAGCAGCCATAATTCAGCTTACCCAGCCTATGTCAGAGTGACTGAGACACGGATTTCTCTTCCTTTTTTGCTACTAAAGCAAGAACAAGGGACCAGAGGAGAAGGTAAATACAGGGCCAATGAATACGTGTGAAACAGAAGAAAACAGAAGTAAAGCAAAGTGACAGTGTAACTAAGTCACTATGATTCTGGAAAGGCACTATGAACTCTGTGAGAAAGCACTTTAAAGCCAAAGCCACCATGGGATGCTGGGTCATGAAGGCTCAGCAAAGTGTATGTGTAAGGCCCCAGACTTGTGGCATTTAGTACTTAGGTACACAGCTGTCATGCAAGTCCCTCCTGGAGTGTTGACTGCTTCACACTGCATCTCAGATGAGTGGGGATGAGATGTTTGCCTCTTACTGCAGTGCACTAGCTGCCTGACAACAGGCATGAAGCCACGCTTGCCCCACATTCTGCTGTTAGTCCTCATGAGGGCCTGCTCTGGAGGTGCTTCCTGGGGCAAACTGCTGGTGCACCCCACACTCCACAAGTCCTGCCAGAGCTTTTGTGCCATGGGGCTGTGATCCAGTGTGAAATGTCTGGCTAAGGTGCTGGCCTCTACCCCCTACCACCTTGACACAGGGCTCGTGAGACAGACAAGACATACCCAGGTCCTTCCTACAGGATTGCTGTGTTGCAAGTAAGGACAGAGGGGATTTGTAGGCATCTTCATCTGAGGCTGAATTTGAGTAGTTTGCAGGGATAATATGGATTCTTGCAGATGGGATTCAAGAAGCCTGCATCCAGACACTTGTGTTGCAGTTGTCTAAGCTACCTTTATAGTCAACTGAGGGAAAGAGGCTCACCTAGAGTGGGATTCATCTGATCCATTTTAGACAACAGCTTCAATCAGATTAACGGTGCTCTAGAAGGGTCAGCTTCCTGCCTTGACTGTGAAGATTTCTATATAACTAATTTGATTGTAATGTCAACAGCACATCTACAAGCACTGATGGGAAGCACGGTGGGTGCTGGGCAGCATCATGCAAACAGCAGAGTGGCTTGTTTGTGACTGTACTATGTACTCCCTTCTCTGTGCCTCCCTTTCCTCATGCCTACTGTGGATATGGTTGAAGGACTCAGGCACAAACAGAGTTATTTCAGCTCCACAGAAGCATTTCTGTTCGAATTGTATAAACCTTCTGTAAGTAGTTCCCTGACAGCAGAAATTATACTTAAAAAAAAAAATATAAATAGTGTCTGACATATGCCCTTGTAAGAATGGGGCTCAGCTCCTCATCATCATAAATCTTACATTTGTTCCACAAGGAATTTTCCTGGAAAACCAACAGTGCTGTCGAATACCTTTGTGCATCCAGAGAAGGCCAAAATACATGGTTTTTGTTTGGTTTTTCAAATTAAATTGGTTCTCAATATAAAATGCTGCTGAAGGAGCTGTGAAATTAGTTTAAATTTGTCTCTAATATGCTAAATTAATGCAATTTTGCTGTTTCAAATGAGTGACATAACCATTCAAGTTGTTTCACTTACATACCCACATTAGCGTGAAAAGCAGGATAAAGCTGTCTACAAATCAGCACTTTTTCTTATCAACACAGCAATTCACGTTTCTGTGCATAATATTGTGAAATCTTGAATCTGCCAAGGGAAACATTTTCAAGGCTCTGAAACCAAGCACTAGAGTTTTAGAACTCCACTACTAAAGGTTACCTTCCTGTGAGCTGTGAGCTCGGCACTCAGTTAAGTAACTTGCTGTGGCTCTCAGTGATGCTAAAGGGACTTGCACCCGTGTAACAAACAGCCTATTTTAATTCCTAGCACAAATTCAGAAATATTCATGCATCCCCCATGACAACAAGGTAACCTCTGGGATAAACAGCCTTCCAGTATCTGAAGGGAGCATATAGGGATGCTGGGGGTGGACTCTTCATTAGGGACTGTAGTGATAGGACAAGGGGTAATGGGTTAAAACTTAAACAGGGGAAGTTTAGATTGGATATATGGAGGAAATTCTTTCCTGTTAGGGTGGTGAGGCACTGGAATGGGTTGCCCAGGGAGGTTGTGAATGCTTCATCCCTGGCAGTGTTCAAGGCCAGGTTGGACGAGGCCTTGGGTAATACGGTTTAGTGTGAGGTGTCCCTGCCCATGGCAGGGGGGTTGGAACTTGATGTTCTTAAGATCCTTTCCAACCCTAGCTATTCTATGATTCTATATGACAAGGCAGATTTTCGCTCCATTTGCTTACAGTATTAGACTGTTCTTTCTCTTTTGGATACCTTGTTATACACCATTGACCATATCTCAGGCTTCATTATATCACACGGACCTAGAAATTCATTTGAATCACTTTGGTAATAATAAGATGCATCATTAGTATAATGGATGATCAAGCCGTACTTTTCCATGATACATGAATATTCATAAAGATATATATCATACTGTGTCTATTCTAAAAAGGGATTACTAAAATATATATTGTTATAAAACCAAATATGTCCCAAGGAATCATTATATTTATTTGATTAATGTAAACTCATTAGACTTTTTATCTACTGTAGAGTAGTGATGTCTCTCAAATGAATAGCAGTGGTATTCATAACTTTGTTTGTGGCTATCTATTAGAATCAGATACTTTACTTTATCAGGCTGGTCTCTGAAGTGGAAGCTTTCAGAAAATGATAAAAATCTAATAATACTCTTTGGAGGGGATGCAATGTGACTGATTGGTAAGGTCAAGAAAAATCTTATTTGGGATGCCCTTATTGGTACATGATTTGACATGACATTTTTACCTTGAAATTGGTTTTAGCAATTGAAGAATATGACGGTTTAGTTTTCAAGAAATATTGGATTGAGGATCTATAGGAAAAAAACCCTAATTCAATCTATTGCCTTCTCAATTAAGCTACTGCCTATCATCCAGCACCTTTAACTTCTATTTAATTAGGCTTTAAAGTACATTCACTTTAAAAGCTAGGCCTATATTCTTCTTCTGACTATAATCTACACCTGAAGACAGTAAGGAAAAAAAGACGTAAAAATTATGGAGCACTTCACAAGCATAAGTAAATACTGTACCCCAAAGGGAATAATAATCTATTGCGCAATGCATATGACTCATCACTTAAAGGAATGTATTCTCGTTTTGTTTTTAAAATATGGCCCTTGAAGCAATTAATTCGAACCTGACCTACAGAATCTCAACCTCGGTGCCCAATTCATTTTTTTTTGTTCATCTGACAGAACAACAGGGAAAATATGAGGGAGGATATCTGAGCTCCAGAGGTCTCCCAGCAGCTGACCCAGGTAAGAGAGTTGGATGTGTATTACAGGATCGGCCCCAGTCAGACGGCAGAAAAGGGCCAATCTGTCCTTTCACGAAAAGTCAACTTTTGGAGTTCAGTGAGGAATGAAGGACAAATGAGGTTAAAGACAGACTGAGACTCTCCAAACGGCTTTTGCCAAAGAATGCTTTCTGTATAGAAAGAGGTGAGAATTAAGGTCCAATTTAAGGAAAGCTCATTCAGAAGGCTTTTCTGTGTAGGTGAGAAACTGAGCAGTGACACTCAAGCACTTCAATTTTTGAAGAACTCATTGGCTTTTGCTGCCATTTCAGATAGTACAGTGAATGGCCCTAATGGATTGGTAGCATTTGTATTCTAGCTGTCTTCTTGGATGAAGGCATGGGAGATGATACTTCTAGTCTGTCAGATCACTGGACCAGAATGTAGAGTAAAACTTCCCTTGCTCCTGGGTCTGAAAGCCAGCCCTTCTCACAACATGATCGATACTGACCAGGAGTCTAAATTTCCCCCTGGGCTTTGGATGTTCTTGCTACCACCACATCCCTGGCATCCCGGTGATTTCAAAGCATAGGCTTTTCCCTGACACCAATTGCTGCACTCTTTCCTTGGCAGGAGATGTGCATGAGATGCAGTTCTGGCACACAGACAAAGGCCAATTGTTCCTCTTTGTGAGGGAAACTCTTTGCTGGGTTTCTGCAGCAGCTTTATGCCACAGAGTCAAGACAGACAGAGGACCCAACCCTGACTGTCTTTGGATAGATAGTCAGGAAAATCTTCAGGAAACACAAGCTCACTGTCCACAGTTTCCAGAGAATTTCTTCTATCATTATTTAATAAATCGAAGGAAGACATTCGCAAGTGAATTCTAGGCATTTTGATGAGTATTAGACATATGGCTTGTTCATGAACTTGTAAATATTGAAGGAACTTCAGGGTGTTTTAAAATTCACCTGTAATACAGCAGGAAATGGCATCTAGCAGGGAGCAATTAAGAAATGCTAAAGATCATTCAAGAAACTACTTAGTAAAGAAATAATTAAAAGTCTGTGGAAAGAGATGATCTTGCATAACTACAGAGTCAGTTGTTTATATTGTGTTTATAAACCTTAGGGAGAAGATTGCTTCTCCCTGATTTTACAGCCATGCATATCTTGGGATATTTGTGGTTAGAATAGATTAAGCAGTGTGAATTTATATCCAATTTATATCCAAATGCTACAGCAAAGGATCCCTGAATGACCACTTATCCACTATTGAGGAATCAATGCAAAGTACAGGCTTTCAAAGAGAAAATATTGGCCTGAAGTATTCAAAAGTACAACTTATAGCACAGGTTAGAAGACACTTATTTCATAAACAGGCTTCTAATCAAACACCACTCCAAACTGCGCAGTTCACAAGCACAATGCAGAGTGAAAGGAAGGAACAAGCTGGTTCTTCCCTCGTGCACCTCACACAGGAGCTGGACATGTGAGCAGAAGTGAGAGGGTTTGTGTATCCTTATACATTATCTAGAACTCTTGGGAATTTATGCAGCACTGCCTAAATTTATTGTTCCTAGTCAAAACTCATAAGTCAAAAGAACTTGTAATATAGAAATTAAAAATAAACACATTGCAAGTATTGAAACAGATGGTTCAATAAATCTAAACCCTTTTTTTCACTCATTGAAATATCAGATTCGAAGAAGGCAAAATGTATTATTTTGATAGTGCTAACATAAAATGTAATATAAACACAAGTAGTGTGAACACAGTATTGAACAATTTTAAGAAAATTAAAAAAAAAAGAAATGAAAATGATAAAGCTGAAAGAAGGCCTTTTTGCCTTATGGAAGAAAAGTTTCAGAAATACTGAACTTCAAACATGAAAGCTGAAATGCTCAACTTAAATGTTCCTTCTATAGGGGCCTGGCGTATTGCCCCCAAGACCTTTCAGTCTCAGTGAAACTGCATTTCTTACAGTATGTTTTTCCAGAAAAGCTCTTTTACCAGCTGAACCACTCATTTCTTCCACTGGGATGGAAACAGGCAGAGAAGAACAAACGCCCGAGGGCACATCAGCTGGCTCTGCTCCCTAAGGCTTTGGGATCCAGAGCATCCCCCACAGCTCCTGCTGCTTACAAAAGTGACCCTGCACTCACACTGTGACTCTAGGCTACAATTAAGCCTGAGGGACAGGTAACTTACAGGAGACAGTGAGACCTCTTAAGTTGGGCACCACCAGTTTTAGGCAAATGGGAGAAGGCCTCGGAGGTGGTGGGAAAAATGAGGAGAGCTCTAGGAAACAACACTTAGCAGGAGAATTTGGAGTGGTTTGGTTTGTTTTAACTGGAGAAGAGAAAGGCTGAATCATAATGTAGTGCAAATATGAAAAATTAGCAGGAGAGACTGGTAATCTGTTGTTTGTGTCCACTGAGGGTTAAACAAGAAGATAGCTAATTAGCAGCCAGGATTTGGGTTAATTATTAGAAAGGAGTCTTTCCAAACCACTAGGTAAGCAGGTAAAGCAGCTCTCCAAAGCTTGTTTAAGCAAGGTTGTGAAATTTCTTTCACAAGGAGCTTTATTAACAACCTAAATAAATATCTGTCAGGCAGTGGTCTGCATACATTTGCTCCTGCCGCAGGGAAGCGGGGCCAGGCTAGGTCTTTGTGGTCCCTCCTAGCTGTACTTTCCTTTGATGCTTTGGGATGTGTTTCAGTGCTGTCTTTGTTTTTCCCAAGAGCCAGAGTTTCTGAATGCTGACAAAAGCAGCTTCTTGGAAGAGGCTGGTGAGAGAAAACTGAAAAGAAAAACGGCTTAAATAACTATTAAAAAAAATTGACTCAGTTAGCTGTCCTCTCCCCAGCTAAGGAAACAAAAAGATAAATAACCTCAGCTATAGGACTTCTTGGTCATCTGGTTTATATTGTACTGTTTGTCTGGGTTGGTTCTATTCAGGACCACACCTGTTTTCTCCTTTATAAATGGGATAGCTGGGCATTGCAGAGCTCTGGATCCCTGCAGGAAATAGTTCCTCATCATTGTTGATTCTTGTTTGGACTGGAAGAAAGTTTGTTTTTTTGGCATCTCGCTCATGCATAGAGCCCAGAATCTCCAGTGCAGGATGGGGCAGGCTGCAGCCATAGGCATCCTCCACCAGCAATTTCCTCAGTTACACAGTGCAATCTTGTTTCGCTACTTATAAATCTTCCCCTTTTCCTAAGAATTAATATCCTTCCTTGAGAAATAAGCTTGAGGCAAAGACTAATGGCAGAACAAATGGCAAGCAGAGCTGGGCTGTCACAGAGGTAGGGAAAGCCACTGAGTGCCAGAAGCCTTTAATTTCAATAGAGCAAAATATATTGCTTGGCAATGTCAAAGTATAAAATACTCCAGATTAGCTATTGCACACGTTGTGCAGGGAGAATGAATTTGTGTACAGCTGCTTTACGCTGGGGCAGATTCTTAACAGATCAGCAGTGGTGGGGGACAGATACCCCTATAGAAAAGGGGGTCCGACCTGCCTCTTCTTGTGTGCCTGCAAATATCATGCACACTGCAAGGTATGAAAAGAAAAGGAATAAGGGAGATAATTCTGTCTGTGTCCACTTGTTTTTTCAACAGCAGATTAAAAGGCAAGATGGCAGCAAACCGCTGCTAAAAGTAAAGGTTGCTCCTGAATATTTGGGGAAGAGAATAAACTTCACAGTGTTCACTGCCTGGGGCTGCGAGTCACTTTTGCATAGTGAATTTAGTTCTTTAAAACTTCCAATACTTTCAAATTCTGAGATGTCCCAAGTGTTTGACAAGCAAGGTATGCAGAACCAGGGCCTGAAGAGAAGCAGCATTGCATAGTCTCATAGAGTAACAGAAAAAGTTGAATGATCTTTACTTCAAATGAAGATCTGCTCAAATCCATATAAAGCAAAATCCAATGAGCCAATTTCAGCAATGATCTTTTATTTGGACATCTCCTGTACTTAGAAATAATCATGCCCATATTACTTAAAACCTAATAAATTTGGAGTTTGGTTGGTATCACTGGAATGTTTTGTTTTCTGACTTGTAGGTAAAGTGTCTTTTCAATAACATTGAACATCGTGTTTCATTGCAGGGGCATCGATTTTCAGATTAAAATCTGAACCCATTAAGTTATAAGCCACGATTACATCCAGCTGAAATTCAGGTCCTGACACTCACAGTATTATACAAATTAGGATCATGAAGAATATTATGACCTTGAAGCTATAAAAGACTGCAAATTTGCAGACATACCATTTAAAATGCTTTGAGCAAACTTAGGTCTAATATTTAGAATTCAATACAGGAAACAGTGCACGATGATCATTAGAAATAAGCCAGGAATATAAGCAGTCACGTAGCATGTCATAAAGAGTGTAAGTCAATTTAGCTCCAGTTAGTCTAAACAGGCCTTACAGGATAAGAAAATGTTGGAGGTACAAGACAAACGTGTAAGCAAAAGCCTACAGGAAACAGTTTCAGTACAACTAGCCAATAAATATCATCGTTGCTTTACAAAAATTGAAGTAGATCACATGGTCATATCTGAACACTTAGATTTAGACACTGTATTATCAATGCAGGTAGCAAAAGAAGGCCCTGACTGATGTTCTGCTCGTGCAGAGGTACCCAACTGCAAAAGCCTTAGCACCTCTTAAAACTCAGTGGCTGAACTTGGTAAATTAGGAAAGATTTGTTCCAGTAGGTAATTTGGCAATCAGAAATTCTTCAAAATAATACCTACTTTTGCTTTTATGTATTTACTTTACTTCTTTCTTTGATGCTTGTTCCATTTTCCTCCTATATCCACAGACACCATTTAAATACATTTCCTACCTATCACAGTAGCACCTGAACTTGCCATGTAATGCGACATACCTGTATTGTATTGTTTGTGTTTAGTCACTGGATCTACGTTGTTAAACTGCAATACAAAAATCTTGTTATCAGATACTGTGAAAGCTTTATTTCTTTGGAAGAAGCTCCTTGGAAACAGTTGTTCTATAGCCAACTTAATTTCAAATTTGTTGCTGAGTTTTGCCTATGCAGTGGAAACAGTCTGTGCAGGAAACACCAACATGTCGGTGGAAGCCCTGAAGTTCCAAGGCAAAAAGCAAGGTTTTTTGACTGCAAATTCTGTGCCATTCACTACACAAAGATGACAAGATAACAGACTGTCTTCTCCAAGACTGACTCACCACAGAGAAGTTCATTCCCAGTTTAGGTACAGTAATCACCATCTGAGGAAAGCACACTGAGTTCAAGTTGATTCCCTGAGCTGTGATTGTACTTCCACCGCTACGAAAGGTTGAAAAAAAAAAGGAAAAGGAAAAAGAAGATGAGTAGGATAATGATACATCTGCTATGATAATCTTAATTACAAATTATGTTTTAGAGTAAATGACAACATAAAGCCAGAATTAGGGATATATGGGGTGAATGCAAATACATGGCTCTTAGCAGTAAGCGTAAAGCCAGAATTAGGGATATATGGGGTGAATGCAAATACATGGCTCTTAGCAGTAAGATTATTTTTCTAGTAGACAAATTTTACACTTGCTATAACTACTAATCAAATACAAGAAAAAGAAAAATCATTTTTAAAATTGTGGCGTTACAGGATGTAAAACAAATGCATACATTTTAAAGGAGGGTGTATACTTGTGCTTAGCGTTTGCTAACTTACATAACTTACTGCTTTCAGCAGTGCTGAAAAAGGTGTCTTTTTTACTGCTGACATTTTTTTGGCAAAGGAAGATGGCTTGGATTAGAGCTACTGAGACCATAAATATGTCACTTAAAAACACACATATGCTACCATACATATATATTCATAATATTTATGTAGGCCTGGATTTAGACTGTTTAAAAATCATTTTGCTCTCCTGAGTCCTGCTAACTTGTCACATTAAATGATTTTCCTCACTCATCAGTGTGATGTCCAGACGCAGTGCAGGAAACACGGTTAGCTGTATCGTATGCATCTCAGCAGGACATCACAGGTACAGTCGGCAGCAGCTACGAGTTAAATCACATAAAGAAAAGAGGTGCCCTTCTCCCTTCTCCTTCACCTCTGAAAGGAAATGATCTGCCCTCTGCAACTGCACCATAATAGAAGCAATTGGCATGGCAGATAGAGATAAAAATGCAATTTCTTTTAATAGATTGCTGCACAGCGTAGCCATTCTTCTTTCATTCCCTACTTTTGTTATTCCTGTAATAAACTTTTACTCACCTAAGAAAAGATTTGGCCGGATGAATTTTTAAAACAACAGGGTCTTCTCTGTATGTGAAATGGGCGCTCGCGTCTCGAATGGCTTTGTCGATTCCTACCCTCACACGATATTCCTGGGGAATTCGTTGTGCCGGAGTGTAGCACTCCACAGTGCTCGCTGATACACTGGAAGGACAGAAAAAGGCCTGCTTGCCAGCATTGTAGAACATGTACTTGGTTTAAAGCACTGGCCTTCAGTGAGCCCCAACCTCTCCTAAGGATCCACTTCTAAAAACATGTCACTGAGACTCCCACTGGATGATTGTACTGCAACAAACAAGCATGGTGTGAGGGAGAAACAGCAACACTGCTTACGCTCAGGATTCATCCTAATTGGATTGACTGACACCTTGCCTACTGGAAGGTATTTCCCCAGTGCTTGTGACAGACACACCAGCCCCTGCACCCTGTAAAGCAGCTTCCAACCTGGAAAACAACAGCACACTCCAGGTTTAAGGAGAATGACTTGTTCTGCTGTAACCATGGGATAATGTCGTTCTCTTTCAAATCCACAAGGTTTACTCAGTGTTAAAAACCTCAAGAAAAGGTGCTGGAGGAGGATGAACCAGCATGTCCTGCCTTGGGGGCACCTGCTGACTGGGGGCGCTGCCAAGGGGTAGGCAGAAGGCAAGAAGAAGGGAGGAGAAGGTGAAAATTCAGGAAGAGCTGGCTGAACTCAGCACAGCAGCAGGGCCTCTGGGATATTTGCCTTTCCCTGTTTCTCTCATGCTTGGCCCTGGAAGTCCTCCTCCTACACTGATCTCAGTGGGTGAGTGGGCAGCAGAGGTGTGAAGCATATTGAAGTGCATGAAGTGTGGCTGCAGGGAGCAGAGCATATGAGAAGCAAGGATAACAACTGATTGGAGAAGCAAATGTAACTCTATCACCTGGTTTCATTGATTTGGGCCCCTCCAGGAGCCGTCCAAGTGGGGCCATCCTCCAGGGATGTGACAAATTGCCCCCAAATTAGAAGAAAGGGGCATTTACTGGCACTTCGGAAGCTTTCCAGGAAGGTGGGGTTTACCATGTGCTGTAGGGTTTAATGGCTTGTTCATATGTATCTGGAAGCTTTTTATCATATTTTAAAGGGAAAAATAAACCCTTGATCTTGTTGCCCTCAGAACTGTGGAAAGCTGACAGTTTAGGTAGAGAAATACCTGCCCTGAGAAACTGGCTAAGTCCTGTGTAGAACTCTCCAGGGCTGGTGAGAAAGAGGGGTGCTGGCAATGCTAACTGGATAAACCCCAACTACAGTTTGATACCCACAAGTCCACCTGACCAAAGCAGATGTCTGCCTCTGAGCTGGATGTCATCTCACCCCCACAGCAGACTTCTCACATGGATCAGACGAATGATTCCCTAAAGGTTTATATATTTATCCATTAGCTAACCAGCTGAAATGATGACATCAATAAATGCCATCCTAAACTATTAAGTAGCCATTGAACAGAAGTGCTGAAGATAGATCTTGTTAGTGATTAAATATCAGACTTGAATACCAAAATCCCCTTCTTGATTTAGTCAGTCTTAGCTGATTTGATCAAGAGCATACAATAAATCATCTAGCAGCAAAGAATAAAATTTATCTTTCCTGACTGAGTCTGATGTTAATAGGCTATTGCTTCCCCACATTCTCTGCAAGTGTGACGTTTCACCACTACGACTTTCATAATCATTAGAAGAGACCCAAAATTTAGAGGAATTGCTGGACATCCTCTTCCTGGAACACAGTGAGCAGGATTCTGCCCTTGGCCACAGAGGTGACAATTCTAGAGCCACCTTGCTATAGCTGAAAACACGACTAAGCAGGATTTTCTTCATGGTAGAACAGCTACCAAATTCAGAATGTTTCTCTGCCCATAGGAGAGAATACGTACTTAGTATTTAACATTTACATTCAGCTGGGATTGAAGTCATTTCCATACAGAGCATGTCAAAGATTCTCGACTGAGCTTCTACTGGATCCAGCACAGATCCACAAGAAATTCTGGCTTGATCCTCAAAACAATTTTACATACACCAGGAAAAGTCCCAAACTGACGCTGTTTTGAAGGCTGTTCACTGATAGTAGTGCAGAAATAACTGCTCATCTGCATGAGATCCACACTCCCACACTGGTCAGGTTTCCACAGAGCAAACCAGTAGGAAATGGTAACCTACACCCAACGGATACTCACTGGGAGCTGATACAAATGAGGGGCTGAGTGTATGGAAGTTGGGATGACAAAAATGATGGGAAATGGGCAGTTTCTAATCCATTAGACTGATTTTCTACTTCTCTATGCAACCTTTTAATAAGGTTAATGAAGGCTTCACGGAATAAACAAGTCTTCCAGGGAACTGTTGTTCCTTCTAGAAACCTTTCAGACACCCTAAATTCAGGATGTAATCCAGAACTGAAGGTTATTGCAGTATCATTTGTCCATTATGAAACACAAGGGGAGGACAGCAATGCATGTTTGTTTTTTTCTTACTCCAATACATTTTAATCAAGCCATTTCAATATCATAGGCATCACTTTTTAGTAAGTACCTTACCTTTGCAAGGTGCACAGCTTCTCACCAACAAAAATCCTTCTGTTTTTTCCACTGTTTAGGTATTTTCCAGATACAGTAAGCAATGTTCCTCCAGATTTGGGGCCATAGGTGGGAGAGATACTTGTTATTACAGGGTTCTGGGTGGGGTAAAAATAAGAACAGTGTTACATTATTTTCAAAATGTGAAGAGGAAGACTCTTAAAACATTTATTAGCGTTCCCATGAAGTAATAATAAAGCCAACAGGAATATAGAATTACCATACTGGATTGGACTCATGAGGAATCTCCTTCCAGTTAATATTGAAGCTAATTTTGACAACAAAGTTTGAATCATAGTACTCACCACATATGAAAATGTATTGAATAGCGTTTTGCCATGTCCAACAGAAACACTACTGGATATATTAAAACTTGGATTTTTTGCAGCGGGAACTGTGCATTCCAACCTTTGGAAAACAAGGAAAAAGATTGGATTACATCTTTTTTTCTGGCTTGATTTTCTGTATTAAAATAGCACCACTTTAAACTCGTAACAATGGAGGATCCATACCAAACAAATCATCTATCTATGTGTGTCAGGAACATTTCAGAAATAACAGCTGAAAGAACTGTGGTTGTTTTCTTTAATGCTAAATACAAACACTGTGGTGTTTATACTTGGCCAGAGAAAATAATTGTAGTGTATCAAATGCATTTTGGATAAAAAGAAGCATGCTAGAGAAAATAAATACCTCCCATTCAATGGCTGACTTGGTTTTTGGAATTTTCTTTATGTGCCAAATTTTGGCAGACAACGGGATTAGAAAAAAAATGCATCATATACACAAGTTTGTTGTATAAAATGTAGTATTACCAAAAATCAAACTTGAGCTTTTGTGGCAGCATGTGTCAATGTATTACGTTACATCTACAAAGTCTCACATATAGAATTACAGAATCAGCTAAGTTGGAAACGACTTTTAAGATCATCAAGTCTAACCATTACCCCAGGACTGCCAAGGCAACCACTAAACCATGTTCCTAAGGACCTCATCTACATGGTGTGTGAACACTTCCAGGGATGGTGATTCCACCACTTCCCTGGGAAGACTGCTCCAGTGCCTGAGCACCCTCTCTGTAGATAAATTTTTCCTGATATCCAATGTAAACCTTTCCTGGTGCAGCTTGAGGCCATTACCTCTTGTCCTATCACTTGTTACCTGGGAGAAGAGACCAACCCCAACCTCACTACAACCTCCTTCCAGTTGTAGAGAGTGATAAGGTCCTACCTGAGCCTTCTCTTCTCCAGACTGAACAACCTCAGTTTCCTCAGCGGTTCCTCATAAGACTTACTCTCCAGACCCTTCACCAGCTTTCTTACCCTTCTCTGGCCCCGCTCCAGCACCTCAATACCTCTCTTGCAGTGAGCTGCCCAGAACTGAACACACAAGCTAGTCTGCTTAAATAATATTGTTTGCATTAAGACTTCAGAACAGCAGATGGGAGAGTGCTTGGTACTTCTGCAGGGTGACCTTTTCGCTGTTATGTATGTGAAAATCAAGAAGCTGTGCCATGATTTGCACACTGCTTTGGTAGTAGTCACACCCTTTGAACTGAGAGAGGATGTTCACTGAATCTCACAACCTGCATAACCTCTGTCTTAAATTTAAGCCATTATCCCACTGTCTCAAATACTTCTTTCTTCTTTCTGAGAAGGAGGAGGAGTGGTGCAGCTGAGGGTCACAAGCCTCTGGATGACGAAATACCTGCATCTTCTCACATTTCTCTCCAGCAGCTTCACCGATCAGGAAGACGGAGGTGACATAACTGAGCCCAGCGGGATCCTGGCCAAAGGAACCTGCCCCCTTTTCAAACCTTTGAATAGTTTAATTCTTGCCAGCTCCCACAGATGTTGAACAGCATTTTGCAGACAAACCAGAAAAAGCTGCTGTAGGAGCTATCAGCATTAACTAGATTTATTTGATCTCCATTTCGAGCCCTTTTTTTCCTGGGGAGCTTATCAAACCAATCAAAAGGGCTTGTTTCCTGTTTGAAATCTCAGGATGAGATGACACTTATAGACTTAATGTTTATATTGAAAATACATATAGAAAATCCATACCATATAAAGAACATCTGTATAAAGGGAAATTCTTATTTGAGGTTTCTTACTTGTTTTTGTTACTAGATTTTGCTTCCAGGGCACAAATTTGTCCTCCGATGTGTACTGCTGTATTTTTCAATTCAAATCTACTGTTTTTGCTGAATCCAAAGTCCCATCCACACAGCGTCAGTTTTGTCCCGCCTTCTAAGGGAGCGCTGCTCGGGAGAATCTGTTAAAAAAATATTGTGTTAGTTAAATCAGGTTTTCTTGAACTTCAAATGAAGTTAAAGAATGTGCAAAGGAATAATTTTAGAAAAGCATTTCTTCTGGTAGACTATGTCCTACCATTCATCTTAATTGTTCTTCACCTTCCATTTGTCACATTATGAGCTTTCCCTGACAGTGGCAATAAATAACAAAACCTATACTAGAAAGCTTTGAAGGATAGTGTTTAGGGGCACTGGACAAGCTGTGCATTGTAACAGTCTTTTAAATCCTACCATTCTTGTCTTTCACATCTTATTTTTGGCATGTTAAACATACAACGTACTTATTTTTTAGAAGCTGAATGCTGAACACAAAAGAGCCCCAAAATGACCATTTTTTGTCAGCTTGATAAAAGTCAGGTTCAGAGTGAAGTAGCTTCAAAGACACCATAATCCGATATCGCATTGGCTGTGATAAAGTTAACGTTACTTCTGCTGTTCTTTCCTTAAATCTTTTACATTTGGTCACCTCTAATGCTGAGGTAAAAATAAACCACCCCTCAGAAACACAGAGACAATCTACAAAGGAAATGCTTTTTTTTTTTGTATATTGTAAATTGTCCTGTAAAATATAACAATGGTGGGAAAAATGTAGGAACACTACAGAAGTCTTACAAAACTCAGCCAAAGTACTGGTCAGTACTGCCATTAGAAAAAATAAAATGAAAAAGACATTGGTTCAGGGTTTATAGGGACTTTTAACAATACTGCTTAATTCTGCAAACATACAAGTACCAGTGGACAAACAACATAGAATGAAAGGCTGAACTTATACTTGTGGCCATAGTGCCTAAATGTCTTCAACTTAATGCTTTAGTGATACTAATTTTTCCCCTAAAATGCAATACAGCTGTGCCTTTCAAAGGAGCCGACTTAATTTTCAAGCTGAAAGGAAAGTGTTTGAGAGATACTTGGCTATTATTTCATCTGGAAATCCAGTAAGACAGCACATTTCTTTTCAACTCTCTTGCAGCTATACTTCAAGACACTTACAAATGAACTATTGTAGATAGAAAGGCAGCTGAAGAATACTTCAAAAGAATTATACCATATATTCAATATAGGGAAATTTACTGCCCCCATTAGAAACCAGACAAAGAGTCTGATCCAAAATGCACTGAAGCCAGTAGGAATCTCTCCCATTTTAATGAGCTTTGAATCAGTTCTCAATAAGCAGAGAAGAGGGAACCTATGCAGGAACAGTACTTTTGCACAAAACCCATGAAAAGGCAGTGACGCTTGCACAGCCCCCTGACACAGCACTGCAGCCAAGAGCAAGCAGTAAGTACCCCATGGAGTCTGTGCTATTCCCAACTTTAACTTTCCCTTATTTCTTTGGGTTTTTTTCTTCAAAATCTGGATTGACTTCAGATCCCAGTTTTCCACTTTGCCTAATATCTCAGCACACTATCTATTTTTGGAGTAACAAAACCCGAGCAGAAACTGAAATTGCTCTGTGGGGGTACAGGATGTCTCGATGTTTTGTACAATAATGCACTGACGTGTGGTATTTGAAGAGTTTGAAATGTAATCCACAAGTTAGCAAAATAAGGGCATTAAAATCAGGCTTCATTAAGCCATACAGAATAAAAAACAAAGGCACTAAACTGGTTTGGAGTGATCTTACCTGCCAAAAGAGACTTGTGATAGCAGCCCATGTGCCTTAACTGAGGGAGAGTAAATGTATTTACTACATTCTGCCAGCAAATTTAGGAGGCAAGACCTCTAAGCAGAGTTTTCTAAGTGCACATTCTGCAGAAATACCCCCAGTGTTTTATTCATATCTTTTGTTCCATTTGTTCTGTACAATGAAACCTCTGACAGTTAAATGAGATTTCCCAGACTTGTTCTTGGGAGTTTACAGGAATGAATACTGAACCAATAGAGAACCTCCTGGACTTTGAACCAAGGTATACATAGGCATCTTCTGTGCACTTATATTGCACAGGAAGTAGCAGAAAGTAAGCAAAACCCAAATCAGTTATAAATGCTATGAAATTCAGGGTACAAAAGCTCCCCATAGCAAGGAAACTCCACTGATAACATGGAGCAAGTCCTGCTGCGAGGCCTGCCATTCTGCTTGTCCCTGCTGCTCTCTGGACTTTAAGGCTAATAAAGTTAACTTTTCTTTTTCCTTTTGGAAAAAATTAAAGCATTGTATTTTGCTTTAGTTTATGTTGACAGCCATTATGCTAATATCCACTCACATACTTTATAAATTGTTGGAAGAAAGTATCTATTTATTCAAGTTTCATCAGCCCGTTCATTTTAATTAAGAGGCAGGAACATGTACAATGCCACATGTGAAATTTCCAGCAAAACCTCCAATCTAAACAGGCAGCAGAAGGCCTGATGTTCTCGATATGTCTGAGACGAAAGCCAGCTAAACTGACTGAATTTAAAAACAGAAACAAACCATGGCAGATTTTTGACCACAACAAAGAATCAAAAGGGAGACCAATTTATTTCTTCTTACATACCGTTCACCTTTCAGCGTGACCTGAATGCTGCAGGCAGATGCCTGCAATTTGTTCCAGCAACAAGTGATCTTCGAGGAGACTCCCTTGAGTCCCCCACCTCTCCTCTAGCACTGCTTGCCCAGTCTGACAAAACACGCCTTGCTGTTGGCAGAGGTGATGGGAGGGGGGTACAGTGCCAAGGTGTGGGGTGGGAGCCCATGTCCCGGTGCCAGCCCTGCTGTGCTGTCAGTAGCTGGGCGATGCCTGGGCAGAGTCCTTTAGTGCAGGGCTGCTCCCCGCCACCCATGGCTCCAAGGAAAGTGCTTAAAGTAGGGCAGAGAGACAAAGGTCTCCACAGGAGGACACTGGGTTTCTTCTCTGCCATCACTCCTGAGATGAAAATCCAATTATTTTTTTCCACTGTGCACTACCTTGTGCAATAACCTGTGAAAACTTTGTTGAAGACTTTAGCTAGCTAATGTCCACAGGACCAGACCCCTGGAGAAGATCTCTGTTTCCCTCAGGTTAAAGCGATCATATGACATATCTCAAGCAATCTCTCCTTCTGAAAGCTGCAAAATATTAGGGAGAGGTTCAGACTGAATTTCAGATACTATGCAAAGCAGGTCATCCTCTGTTTGTTAGGAACAAAACAAGCTTGTTTCTCATATTTTATACATATGGGTTTAAAGACAGATCAGAAGATGATGAATAATCTGTTTTATTTTTTTTTCAGTAATCATGTTAAATGTCATGGTCCAGTAGAGCATGAAATCTGTTTTAACAGCAGCAATCCAAAGGGATTTAAGTACTCAGCTGCATTTTTTCCCTTACAAGCCTTCTAGAAGCAATTTCTACCAATGTGAGCATGCTGTAATTCAAGATTCACTTTAAGATCCATCAGTGCCACAGATGCATATTCATTACAAGGGCAGACTGGACTTGGCAGGGCTGAGCCACATGGGGAAGGGGAGCACCCACTGCCCCACATCCAAAGCATGCTCCCCTGGATGAGTCCTTGTCCACCCAGCAACTGCACAGGGATGCAGAGGTGGCCCTGGGGACTCACCTCTTCATCTAGGCACCTCCGCATAGGTTCCAGGCACTTGGTTCTTAAAACTGCTGAGTGCACAGACTCATAATTGAAATTAAAGAGGGCTATATGAGCTCAGCACCTCTGAAAATCAGAAAATAAGCAGTTCAGAGCCTTAGCAATCTTTTAGGAGGCACAGCAACATCCAGCCATTGCTGGAAAGTTTTGCCAAGAAAAAAACGTTAAGGGATGCTGCTTGTGCTTGAGCGCTTGGGCAGACAAAACAAGCTGTGCAGGATGGGCAAGTCGCTTGGGCCTGCAGAAGTCTTCAAAAATGTATCAGGACTAACCCTCAGTGTAGCCCTTTGAATTAGTTTCATTCAAACTAAGGCCAGAAATGACTATTTGCTCATCTAATACGGCCTTTTGAAAGAAACATCTTCTTGTATGAGGGAAAAGTAAACTATTCACATTCTGCATTAGCAATTTTTTTACATCTCCTTTGCCCAAAGGTAAATGGCAACAGAAGGCAAGGCAAACACACACCCCCCCCCCTTTCCATCTCTTTTATGTTTGATTTCTATGATGTTTCACTGTTCATTGAATCTTGCCTGTGTTAGTCCTAAATTTCACATCTGAAAGGTGAAAACAGAAAAGAAAAAAACAACCCATACACATGTGTTTCTAGGTTTGTTTCTAGATTATTAGCTGCTGTGCCTGCCTGCTCTTTAGAAAGTTGTTGTACATAAAATCATCTGCCTGGTTGGAAGAAATACATGATTCTTAAAAAAAACCAACCCTTTTCTCTCCCTTTCTCTCTGAGATTTTAGCACATCAAACTTCCCATTTATAAGCTGTATGCCCATAAAGGAAATCTATTTTTAACTACATGTTGTAGGTTAAATGAACTAACAAAAGCAAATGGGTATAAATGCTACCAGCAAGTTTAATGCTTGTCTTTCCCTCAGTTTTCTGGTCTGTTAAGTGCCCCACAAGCCTGCACCTTCACAGCTCTGTCACACTTCACATGGGATGATTCGGTTACACGTACAGCCGGCCGGTATGAATCCTGCATTAACCGTAGCTAAACTAAAACAGGATTGCATCAGCACGGCCCTCAGCTCATCCGTGCGGCTGTGTTCTTGCACAGCCTCGATGGGCTTTGGCTGGCTGGCAGCAGCCTCCTGCTGTCCCCTGTCCCAGGGGTGCACCTACAGGCTCGTCCCCCTCAGTGGCTGGGGGTTCCCCCCATTGGACTGAGAAGCCAAGGAGGGAAGTTAGGAACAAATATCTCCCCCAGGGTGGTGCTTTGATTGACTGCTCTGTCACAGAGCTGAGGTAGGGCATAGAGGGACTTTTCCCTACACCACACTTTCCTCCAGCACTGGAGCTGCATCAGGATGGAAGAGCAGCAGGGCTGGAGATCTCCTGTGTTAGGTCATGATGTGGCAGTTGTGGGTGGGAAATGCTTGCCTCTGCCTCCTCCCTTTGAGAGGGTTCTGAAAGGAAGAGTGCTCCTTTTTCACTGGCCTTTCCAATCAGATCCCTGCCAGGCTGGCTCAGACCCCTGCTGTTTCCCCCCTGTAAATGCTTCACAGGGATAAGGCTCCTGTGGCAAGCCAGGATGCTCAGACAGACCTGCCCACCACAGAATCATAGAATGGTTTGGGCTGGAAAGGACTTTAAAGATTATCCAGTTCCAAACCCCCTGCCATGGGCAGGGAGAGCTGATCAGGTTGCTCAAAGCCCCACTCAGCCTGGCCCTGAACACTGCCAGGGGTAGGGCAGTCACAACTTCTATGGCAACCTGTTCAGTGACTTAACACCCTCACAGTAGAGTTTCTTCCATATATCTAATGTAAAACTACCCTCTTTCAGTTTAAAGCAATTCCCCCTTGTCCTATCACTACCTGCTCTTATAAAAAGCCCCTCTCCAGCTTATAGATCAGCTCCCTCAGGCACTGGAAGCTGCTGTAAGGTCTCTGTGACCCTTCTCTTCTGCAGGCTGAACAACTCTAGCTCTCACTGCCTGTCTTCACAGGAGTGGTGCTCCAGCCCTCTGAGCATCTTCTTGGCCCTCCTCTCATGAGCAGCTGAGCCCACCGCACTCAGTAAGAGCATGCCCATCCAGCCAAAGGCTTTATGGATGCTATGTCCAAGGGGAAGTCAAGGAAAGTAGACACTTCATTTATCATAACTGCGTAGAAATACAGAGAAAATGTCCTCAGAGCACAGACCGCATTCTTCCTTCAAAGATAAATATGTGAAGTCCCCCGTTTTACCTCATAAACTTTAGGCAAGCAGGTCTCCTGGGTCCAGGTGCCGCTGGCGCAGGCGGCAGACCGGAGGCACTGCTGGCCACACCAGCCACACTCCATGAAGGGAGGTGCCAGCAGGCACTGACTGCAGGACCTGAAGTGATGGCAGCCTGGCCCCTTCAGTGGGATCTTTGTTACCTGTAGATGGAAAGACATGATGCACAGATCCTCTAAATACATACACTAAGTGGCAGAGAGAGTCTCTTTTTATGCAGTGCGCCACGGTGCTACTCAGATTTCAGATGTGCAAGCCACGGTTCAAATTCTCTTTAGCTCAGTAATTATAGGATCTTATAAGTAATTTAACTGACATGATTTTAAATTCGCTTGGGAGAAACCCTAAAGGCATCTTACTGTTATATACAGTTACTACCAGCATCTGGTGTTTACAGCAAGATAGCATTTTTTGCTGATGGAAAAAGAAAATAGCAGTGTGCTCCTCCCAGTTCTGCATTAGTTCTTGGAAAAAACAGTGTATCTCAGTGTGCCTTAGTTCATATATTTGTAAAAATAGGCATGATGGGAATTTCAACCTTGTCAAGGCTGTATTAATGTCTGTGACGCATTTCCAGCATGTGACTGCCCATGTACTTGTTTTTTAACACTTATAATAAACCCCCCTATATTATACCTAAAATAGGAATTAAAATGTATATTATTTAAGATATAAGGCTATTCATGATAACAGTTATTCTTAATAGATAACAATTACTTTTAGTCAAAATATTAAAATCAGCAATTACTACATAAGTACATCATACTTCACACCTCAGTCCATTCCTTGAATTTATTTTGGACATTTTCTTGAAGATTACTCTTGTAAATATCTCATACATTTCTAATAAATGATTAATAACCACCTTTACTAATGGCTGATGTATTTCTGTAAATTCCTATAGAACTCAAGAAGTCAAATTATTGCTTACGATTATGGTTTAGATTATCTGTAACATTATCTGCTGATGTTTTAAACCTATTCTACAATGCATATCTACTTCTGACAATAGTGTATTTGTGACAGCTCTTCATCTTTTATTAACCCTTTGCAGACTACATGCTAAAGCAATTTTCAAACCTTACTATGAACACTGACTCCCCATTTTAAACAAACCCAAGTAACTCTTGCACACATACCCCTCCTTCAAAAGTTATGATGTTCTGACACAAACCAACAAAAGCCAGGAAACTGTGAGCACCATTCTTTTCTTAAGCCATTGTGTGTTTCTTTCTTTACAAGCACTCGAATTATGGACAGGGTTTCAGCCTTAAAATTTGCATTTCCTGACTTTTGTTGGTTTATATCACAGCTCTTACATTATTTAAACATTTCTTGATATTAGGCTATCGGTTTGTTTAACTGGGGGGAATAATCCTGGAGGAAACTTACCCCTCCAATGTTCCCAAGGGAATGGCGCGGCTGGGAGGATGCAGAGCATAAAGCAGCAGCGTGAATAGTTGCTCTTACTGAAAGTTGCTGTTCTGAAGGCAAGTTTCCACAGTGCACAGAAGGGTTAGATTATGAACCACTCACCTTTTTCCCAGTCACTACCAGGGTATAGCCATCATCTGCTAATGAATTCTTGACGACAACTTGGGGAGAGACGGGGTGGGAGTCAAGCTGAAAGCTGACATGTGGAGCCGTGGGTTCTGAACGGGAAACCACTATCTAAGCAACAAAGAAATTGGGAAAGTCAGCAGGCAGTGTGTGACACAAACGCATGCTGCTCAGTGGTCTCGCATTCCTACCACTTCTCTGCTTGCATAAATTACTATACATTACATTGCATAATATTTTGCATAATGTTCCATCATGATCTGATTAAAGAGCTATAAAATCTACTTTATTTAACACAGCAAAATCATGGCTGTTGGAGGATTCTCAAAATACATTGTATCTATTAAAATATGAAGGACTCATTGCATGTTTTCTAGTCTTTAATTTCAGGTATTTATAAATCAACCCTAAAAAATGAAGATGGGTCACTTAGCCCTGTGCATTGAGGAAAGAAGAATTTTATCTACAAGGTCAATTTAAAAGAATCTTAAAACTCCAGGCCTTCAAAAGTCAAAGGTATTTCCATTTGTTTTCACTTTGGTCCTTCAGTTTGAAAAGTAAAGTTTACCTTGTGTTAACCGTATCTGGTCTTGATGCACGTGGGGCCATTAGAATGCAAACCTATGGCAGGCACAGGTCACCACTGTGAGCAGCACTAAAGAGCCAGAAATACATGGAGCTTGATTCCCAGAGATGGTGAGGTGGCTGTTGCTGTAGGCAAGCTCCTTGCAAAATGTGGCTGGGCACCTTGAGGTCTGGGTCCTGCTGGTTTCTGCAGGAGCCAGGTGTCCAGGACAGAGTGCTCAAAGCACATCTTAAATGACAGGGAGAGCTGGAGACTTCTTTGGAAGATGCTCCAAAATAGGAGCCTAATTTAGTTGTCCTGAAGCTCCTTTGCAACAGCCTTCTCTCTCTCTCAACTTTAGGAGATCTTAGGGAGATTAGTCACACCAGCATGAAATTCCCCAACTAGTCATCTCTCTGCATCTTGAGTTACCTAAATACTTCTGAGAATTTGGGCCTACTCCTGCAAACACACGCTTAACTTTACTACTGTAACTTTGTTGACTTTAATGGGATGAGTCATGGCTGTTAAACAGAGGCATAAAGCATCTGCAGATTGGGGTGGATATTTGATAGTGAGATTTTATAGGCTTGTGCCTGTGATCCAGAAGGATGCGCACCCAAATGTGATAGCATCAGGCAACAAAGGCAGAGGATTGTTTACATGAGCGAAGATCATGTTCATGTTTCAAAAGCTGAATCATGTGTAGTTTGCTTAAGGACTTTAGATAATCAACATTTGCTGAGATTGAATGGGGTTCATTATTTAAAAAGATTGAAGCCATTCTGGAAATAACTTGTATGTCAAATGTTTAATTTTTCACTATAATGAAGCTTTTCTTTTGACTGTGAAGGCAGCATCAGAACAGCTAGGACATTGACTTACATGATTTCACTGGCTTTTCATACTGCCAAGGTCTTTCAACAAAATCGCGAACTCCAAAACGAATTAGAGATGCTGTAATTACAGCTGATGTTTTGTTGTAATTCAAGACTTAAATAAAATATATGAGGAATTAATTCATGGCAATAAGTGCTTCACATCCCAGAGGTATTTATAGTTTGGTGTTACAAGAGGCTTTTCTTTTTCTTCAAAATGAACCTGGCTTTTTTTAAAGACTGCTACAAGCTTGTCTCAAAGTACAGAAAGTGAAGCTTTTTGAAATCAATAAGGTGTGATCATTTTGGTGACACAGAAGTATGGTCTCTCACTCAGTGTATTAGGGCATGAGCTCTGTTTTTATATTCAGGACAATGAAAAATAGAATGGACTGCAAAGCTGCATGAAAAAACGTGATTAATGTTGGCATTATGAGGAGAGGTAGCACCACAGCTGCAAATACCTTTTTCGTTGATCATTAGCCATGTCTCATCTCGAATACCCACTGCTATAAAATGCTAAGAATTCTTTTCTATCATTAATCCAGGCTTCCTCTTATTGCCAAGCATTCTTTCTGATTGAGCCACAGTGTTAACCCTTTAAACATATCTACATTGCAACCTCAGAGCAGTGCATAAAAATCTGGATCCTATCTCTACAATCTTGGAAAAATTATTCGGTACTTTAAACACTGACTGACCTTTATTGTACTGAGGCTGATAGTCAAATCACCTGCTCAAAGATCAAGTAAAAAAGACTCTGACCTTATGACACACACGGAGCTCAAATTACAATTCCTAACTCATTTGGGACTATGGATAAAAGTTCCTGTTTGCTACCAGCCTGCAGTGCTGCCATAACAGATACTAGATGCAAAAATGCTCTTTTTGGTCTATGTAACACTCCATTTTTTGCACCATCAGACCAGTCTTTGAAATTCTATCCTACCCTAATCCAACATAATCTTGAAGAAAAAAAAGCAATTTGAAGACAGCTTCTACAGCAGGAAGAAGAGGCTACTTAGGACTTCATAAACCTCTGATTTTTATTGCTTGGGACTGAACTAGTATGCATACAGTGTGGCTTTAATCTACCATGGACACACTATCATACACGGGCTACTTCTACCATGGAAATGCTTCAGTAGTACAGAAGTGTTTCTCTTTGCAAAGACTGTAAAGTCCTGATTTAATTTTCTGCTTGTTCAGTTTTGGTTTTGTTTCTTTTTTTGGGGGTCGTGTTGGGGTTTCTATACATTTTAATAATTAATTTAATAATCAAACATTTTCCAGAGCATCAGAGAAAGGATATCTACATGCCTGCACTCAGGCAGCTAGGAGAGAGGGAAGGTCTTGCACAGCTAAATAACTGACCAAAAGAGAACAAGCAGGTGTTAGCAGTAAATGGCCAAGCCTTGCAATAGTGAGAAGTCAGCAGATGCGTTCTGCAAGGTATCTGTGTCAGGAACTCTTCAACATATTCATAAATGAGTTGGAAATGTCACTGAGCATCCAGTGACAAATTTTTCTGATGATCTGAAGGTATTCAAGGTGATAAGAATGATAACAGACTATGAAGGATGGCAGAAGGACTTTACAGGACAGCATGTCAAGGCAATAAGATGGCAGCTAAAATACAGTGAAGACGAATTTAAAGTGGTATATGATAGATAGTTCCATGAAAACATCATCTCACTGCTCAGCAGCTGTCAAAAAAAAAAAAAAAAACCCAATAAAACCCAAACAAAGAAAAGCTTAGGAATTATTGGAAAAGGTTTAGAAAACAAATCAGGAAACATCCTGATGTCATACAAATTCATGTCTTGCCTAAACCATGAATTCTCTGTGCAGTTCTGGCTGCCCCATGACAAAAGGAGTATGTTAAAATGGGAAAAGGTTCAGATGATGACAAAAGTGATGCAAAGATAATAAAGATGATGAAAAGGCTATAATGAACAACTGAGTAAGGGTAGGTGTGGAAATGATATGAAAAAGGCATACGGAATCATGTGGGTAGAGACTATCTACTCTCATCTAATAAAAGTACTAAACACCATCAAAAGGCAAAAGTGAGAGTCATGTTCAAAGTAAACAAAAGAGTAAGACTTCCTAGCAATGTGTGATGACCTATGGGGACTCCTTGCTGAAGGATGTGAATGCAAGAGGGAAGGGGATGCATTCAAAGGGAAACTCCACACGTACATGGAAACCTGTACACGTATCCTAAACAGACAAAACCCAATAGCTCAGGAAACCCCCAGAATGGAAAGTAGTTGGAGGCTTGAAGCAGAAGGTATTACATATGTTGCCTTGGTCACTGGGCATCCACTTGTCACCACTGCTGGAGGCAGAGCACTGAACTAGATGGACCTTTCGTTTAAACCCATGTGGCTCTTCTGATGTTCTTACAAATAGCTCTCCTGAGAATTACATTCATTACCAGTAACTACAACCACGTCCTTCTCAAAGCAAACATAATAATGTCCCTCTGAGAGAAAACCAAACAAGTATTTGGTCTTTCAACATAGCTCAAAGCACTTCCGTGAAGGTAACAGTTAGTTAATAAATATATTAATATTCTTTATATTTGAAGTCAGTGATCACTTAGTTCCATGAGTATGAAAATAATTCATTTCAGTATTATTTCATTGCCATCATCTAGTATTGATGTTTAGTAACAAGACTTGACTTTAGGTTTGTTTATGCATAATATAGCAAATTAAGACTGCAATAACCTGAGTCAAAAAACAGCATGCAACAGCTTCTTCTAAAAATCATTCTGGTGCTCAGTTCTGCTAGTCAGCAGGATTGAATTACAAATGTTATTGTCTACATGTTGAAATACCTTCTGCAAAAATGAGAGACTTTCTAAAATCAATCCCATCTAAGTATCATATTGTTATTTTTTCCCTGGATGTCTGGCAGGTGTATGCCATTACCCAGCAAGAGATAGGCTCAGGGTTAGCTTTATTGTGTAATGCCTCCAGTGAGCTGGGATATGCAGCATAGCCTTGCAAAGGGCACATATGTAGCTCTCTAAATGCAGTATATCATTCTAATCCATGGAGAGTATAATGGATCTCCTCTGAAAAGTGTAAGCTTTACTACTCAAACTGAATATTAAAACATGTGTGCTCTCAAAACAGTTATCTGGCACCAGGTGTTAATTTTAATGTGATGATATGGATTTTGCATTATGCAATATTTGATGGGTTTTTTTTCTGGCAGCATCAAGATACATTCTTTACCACAGAAAGAACTGCTATTACAAAACTTTTAAAAGTTAAGCTATAGATATGAAATGTTACTTATCAAGAGTTTGACAGTTTTCTGTTTGTTTAAAAACGACAAAGTGGGAAGGACTGCAACATTCCTATAAATGCACATATGCACAGTTTGCATTTAGCCTTAAATAGGTCAGACTGCCAGTATTGAAAAGCCAAGGGAATTGCTGGACCACAGAGGAAGGACAGCAGCGAGCACTGAGGACAACCTTTGTAATGACTCCATGGGCATCCCACCACTCCTTCCTCCTGCTGGCTCTGTAAGGCTTAAGGTCCACGCTCACGCATTTCTTAACCTCCTTGCACTTGCTTCCAACATGTCACTTGCTTGCCACTTGCACTGGTGTGTTTTGCTATGACTACACTTGTCTAGTGGGACAGGAA